AAGTTGATGGATTTGGCCTTCGTTTGCCAATCCCGGAAGCGCTCGTAGAACCCCTGGAACGTCTCGTTCGGGCCCTGCTTCAAACGCTCGAGCTCGTCTGCGATCGATTGAGGGGTAACCCCTAACGGCGACAACTTGATGAGCCACGAGCGGAACGACTTCCAGTCTGTCGGCCGAGTACCAGCCAACGCCGCATCCTTGTGATCGCGGAACGCTTTCCCGCTCAAGCGCTGTGGTGGTCCAGGCTGTTGTGCGCAACAAAACTGCCAAAACCCCTACCTTATAACCTAAACCACTTACATATATGAACATATTATTGCATAATCAGAATCTGCATACAATTTTACCCATAGTCACTCACTACAACTATACCTCTATCTCTATTAGTTTAGAAGATAATCCAATATAAAGGTTAAAGCCATACCATAACTAGTCATTAATTAGTATTTAATAGTATTTTACCACATATATATAAGTACATACACATAAACTATTACATCAGCAGGCCTCCACCAGTAGTGCAGACCATTTATGCAATTCTTGCATGCATACGTGCAACCATTAGGCCTCCACTTAGTTACTTAATTGAATTTACGCAGACTTTGCATAAATGCATGTGGACAGAAAAACCTCCACCAGGCAGTGCAACCAGTTATGCAATCCTTACATACAGTAGTACCATATTTAGTTATTTCTACAGCATAATTAGCTCAATGCATGTACTCTTTGCAGGAGGCAGTGCAACCCACCAGGTCACCACCAGCAAAATCACCTCAACTGCATCACCACCAGCAAAAATAGCTCAGAAAAGAATATATAAGGAGGCCTCTCCTTCACCAATTCCCCCCATCATCACCCAGCCAGCACAGTACCCAGCTAGCTCAGTGGTCAACACCATCATCACCCAGCCGGTTCATTCCCCCCAGCAGCTCAGTGGTCATCATCATCCAAGTCTAGTCAATACCAGCAACAACACCAACACCAACACCAACACCAACACCAACACCAACATCAACATTGTCAACAACAACAACAACCAACAGTTTCACTACTTATCCAGAATCACCGTAAAACCATAAAACCCTATAAAATATTCCACTTGGATTGTTTTCACACTCATATCCACCGTGTAAAGGTTGTATAACCATCTTGTATTGATTTACATACTGATCTAGGTCTGATAGAGACTACTACATATAAGTTTTCTCCATCATAAAGTTACGCCACAACAATAAATTAAATTGTTGTCAGAATTCTTGTGTAGTAAATAGAGGGGCAGGTCTTTCAAACCACCCGTAACAGTAAATATTATCTAGTGAAATATCATTATTGTTATTTCCCCCTCAAGGACTGCCAACCCATCCCAAAGGAGTTCTCACATCTGGTGTCCCAACAGTGGCCTGACGACTCTCAGAGGATCATTAACTCGTAATCAACCCCAGCAAGACATATAACCTACAGCGGATAACTCCCTCTCCAGGACCAGCGTGGCTAAAGGAAACTAGGATTTTTTTGATTTTACACTGGAACTGCGGATATTTCTCTGGAGGACAACTGCGGCGAGAGAAAACTAGGTTTTTTTTTGTTCTGTGACTCAAAAACTGCGGATAATTCCCTGGAGGACAACTACGACAAAAGGAAACTAGGATTTTTTGGGATTTTTCTACCTTAAAACCGGAGGTCAAATATTTGAAGGACAGAGGCGGCTCAAGTAAACCAGGTTTTTTTCTTGGGCAAGGCAAGCTTTAACAAACAGAACTCACCATGGGCCTCCCAGACAAGAGGTTAAACTGTCTAACGTTTTCTGTAAAAAGAAGAAAATCCATCTACAACTATCAAAGCAATTTCTTCAATACTCAACACAAAGGTTTCAGCTTTCTTAGGCTTGGACAACTCAACCCCTTACGGTCAAGCTTTCTCAGCCCTATAATAATTCAAATTCATTCAAGATTATATCAATAATAGAATGATAAAAAAAAAATATAATAAAAAAATAATAATAATAAAAAAAACATCAAGAATACAATCAGGTAGCTTGATCTAGACATAATTAAATGTGTAAATCTTTTACCTGCCTTCATTCTTCTTTACATAATTTTTGTTACCAACATACACAAAGGAGAGAAAAAAAAAAATTGGCTCAGAATGGACAAGGGGTGTTCAGCTATGTCTGTGTTGATATCTATTTGCAAGCATTAGGAAAAAAAAAAAAGTTCTTGGTATTCGGGTGGTAACTACTTTCCTCGGTTGCTATTGGACAAGACGGGGGGTCGGAAAAGAACATCGGACAAGCGAAAGATTGACGAGACCGAGGAGATGAGCTAGGAGCTGATGAGGCCGAGGAGAAAGTGGCGACGAGTGGTCCTTTTATATTCAAGGATCAAGGGGAGGAGCTTCGAGGAAGGACGATGATCGACCAAATAGGGAAGCGTCGTGCTGCTGTGCCTGTCGGACAAACGGAGGAGAGAAGAAGGGAGTTTGTCGGATACGGATCTCGCCATCGCTTGAGCTCAACTGGTGGCAAGACCACAGCGCGATCACGTTGTCGGAGGAAAAGCTGGAGCTGTCAAGCTAATCGGCGAGGACGGTGGAAGCGGCAATTGAATTGACAGAGCGTCGGTTAAGAGTAACGAAGCGGCAATCCAATGGAGGTACTGTCAACAGATGGTGAAGATGTTTGGAGGGGAATACCGGCGTCGATCGATAATATTACTAAGAGAGTACACACACAAAACAAGGAGGCAGACACGGTTAGACTTGCTGCAAAACAATACATTAATCAAGAGAGATAACTTACCGGTGTAGAGCTCGGAGGAGCGGGCGGAGGTACTGTGACGAGACGACGAGGACATTGAGGAATTTTGGCCTCGATCAAATAGGGACTAGTAGGAAGGTTGCAGCTAGAGAAACGAAGGAGCAGTTAGTTTTGCTGCAGAAAGCTATATGGAAGACAAGAGAAGAGCGACTTACCGGTACACAGCTCGGCAAACGGTCGGTGAGGGCGTTGAAACAAAGAGCTTGGCGGATGCGATGGAGGCGTGGTTGCAAGCCGGCGAGGACGTTGGCGGGGATCTTGGCATCGATCGAGCACTACTACTACCCAAGGACGGCACAACAGAAGACAACAGCATTTGGCTCGGCTGCAACAAACCAGCGGCGGTTAATTTGGCGGCACAAAGCTACATGCAAGGCGAGGAAAGAGCGACTTACCGGTACAGATGTTCGGCGGATCCGATGGAAGTACCGTCGACAGCGGCGAGGACGTTGGTGGGGATCTCGGCACTGATCGATCGCTACTACTAGCCAGGACAGCACAACAGAAGAAAATGGTAGTTAGCCTGACTGCAGCATGTAGGATGATGTAAAATAGAAAGCTTACCGGTTAATGAGCTCGGCGGATCCGATGGAGGTACCGCGGCGAGCTGGCGAGGCGTTGGAGTTGACTTGACATCGGTTGTCGGAGTCCGGAAGGACGGGGAGTACATACAGGCACCCAATGACCTGTCGGTTTTTTTGTGTGACCGGGCGGAGCGAGTGTCACCAATTTTGTGACACTGCACAGGCTGTTGAACCGCAGCAGAACTTTTTGGACAACCAAGTCAGCCACCACAAAAGCATCAGCCCTACCCATCACAACAGAAGAGAAATTTCATATTGGAGCATGAAAGAAAAAAAAAGAGATGAACAGCATTCCAAAAAAAAAAAAAAAAAAAAGAAAAAAAAAAAAAAGGAGGGACTGGGAGTCAAGGTCCTGTATGACCTTAAACTGCAACTTTAAGACTGAAAGAGGTCCTGTATGACCTTAAACTGCAAATTTAAAACTGAAAGAGGTCCTGTATGACCTTAAACTGCAAAACTTCAAGACAAATCTAGGTCCTGTATGACCTTAAACTGCAAACTTAAAGCTAAAAGAGGTCCTGTATGACCTTAAACTGCAAACCAAACTAGGAAGAGGTCCTGTATGACCTTAAACTACAAACTTTAAACAAAAAAAAAAAGAGGTCCTGCAAGACCTTAAACTGCAAACCCTCAAAATAAATCAAGGTCCTGTATGACCTTAAACTGCAAACCAAACTAGAATTGGTCCTGTATGACCTTAAACTGCACTACTTAAAGGCTCAAAAACTCACCAGTTACGCCGAGGATGGTCCCACATGACCTTAAACTGTGAATTTAATCAATTTTTTTTTCAAAATTTATCAATCACAATGGGAGGTCCTACATGGCTTAAAACTGTAATCTAATTTGGATAGGAAAAAAAAAAAAAATCAAATGGCAGGGCCAAAACACAAAATTAAAACAGGACTATGTGAATTGGACACCTTACAGAAGAAGAATTGGAAGAAGGCAAATCAGAAGATGAAATAAGTAGTAATATTAGTCATAATGAAAGTAGAAGGGAAGAAGAATCCGACTCCGGAGAAAGTAACAAAGACAGCAACGAGTCAGTAGACGGCAAATTTTAGGCTATTGATTGAAGAGAAGAATAACGGGTACTATACGGAAACAAATTTTTAAAATAACAAGGACTGGAGGCTTTATTTATTGGAATAACACAGAGAAAGAGATTAGAAACTAAAACAGGAAGAAAATTCAGAAGATACTAGATCAACCAAATATGCTAAATAATAATATAGTTTAAACTTGAATAGAGATTATCGATGTGAAGGAAAAATAGAATGAAAATGTGGAAGAAATAGTTAAGGAATCCTTCTGGGGGGACGGTGAATTGAACGTGTATTCAAAAGCCCATTCGACTCAGCGGTTGGAGACCTTTCTTTTTGGAACAGCCTTCAAATACATCAACCACCAGCCTTTTCCTTGGACTAATACCCATGAAATAGAATGAAAGAGAGTCGTATTTGGAGCCTTTGATTTGGACGTGGCAGGCGGAGAACGAGACGAGGAGAATAACAAGCACAAACGTATATTATAATTTGGGAATAAGAGGAAGAAATCAGTTACAATGAAGAAAAAACCTGGACGGCGGAAACTCAATCAAAGTGGAAACCCAATCAGATGAACAGAAGGACCAAGTCATGAAGAAAAGGAGAATCAGTAGGATATCAGTTACAAATCAATACATATTAATGAATTAAAATTAGTCAACTAGAGGCTTGGGGCAGTTTTCTTGCTTACACCAGGAATGCTGCGGACAGCATTAATTTGGGGGGGGATGTGGTGGTCCAGGCTGTTGTGCGCAACAAAACTGCCAAAACCCCTACCTTATAACCTAAACCACTTACATATATGAACATATTATTGCATAATCAGAATCTGCATACAATTTTACCCATAGTCACTCACTACAACTATACCTCTATCTCTATTAGTTTAGAAGATAATCCAATATAAAGGTTAAAGCCATACCATAACTAGTCATTAATTAGTATTTAATAGTATTTTACCACATATATATAAGTACATACACATAAACTATTACATCAGCAGGCCTCCACCAGTAGTGCAGACCATTTATGCAATTCTTGCATGCATACGTGCAACCATTAGGCCTCCACTTAGTTACTTAATTGAATTTACGCAGACTTTGCATAAATGCATGTGGACAGAAAAACCTCCACCAGGCAGTGCAACCAGTTATGCAATCCTTACATACAGTAGTACCATATTTAGTTATTTCTACAGCATAATTAGCTCAATGCATGTACTCTTTGCAGGAGGCAGTGCAACCCACCAGGTCACCACCAGCAAAATCACCTCAACTGCATCACCACCAGCAAAAATAGCTCAGAAAAGAATATATAAGGAGGCCTCTCCTTCACCAATTCCCCCCATCATCACCCAGCCAGCACAGTACCCAGCTAGCTCAGTGGTCAACACCATCATCACCCAGCCGGTTCATTCCCCCCAGCAGCTCAGTGGTCATCATCATCCAAGTCTAGTCAATACCAGCAACAACACCAACACCAACACCAACACCAACACCAACACCAACATCAACATTGTCAACAACAACAACAACCAACAGTTTCACTACTTATCCAGAATCACCGTAAAACCATAAAACCCTATAAAATATTCCACTTGGATTGTTTTCACACTCATATCCACCGTGTAAAGGTTGTATAACCATCTTGTATTGATTTACATACTGATCTAGGTCTGATAGAGACTACTACATATAAGTTTTCTCCATCATAAAGTTACGCCACAACAATAAATTAAATTGTTGTCAGAATTCTTGTGTAGTAAATAGAGGGGCAGGTCTTTCAAACCACCCGTAACAGTAAATATTATCTAGTGAAATATCATTATTGTTATTTCCCCCTCAAGGACTGCCAACCCATCCCAAAGGAGTTCTCACAGCGCTGACCCGCCGCAACGTGCCACAACGCTGGGTGAGCCTGCCTATCTCCTAAGAGAACTCCCATCGTGACTAACCAATCGTTGGCGTCCTCCCCGACGGCACCCGTAAATTTAGGGCAATCCTTTTCGGGCCACCCCTTAAGGATTTTGCTGATGTCGGTCTCCTTATGGAGATCCAACGCTACGGAATCAGTCCGTAAATAGGAAGACTTGAAGTCCTCCTCACTCGAGCCCGACGAACTCGCTCCTGCCGCGGTTTCTCCCGTGGCCGTCCCTCCGGTTTTAGGGTCCTTCGGGTCGATGAGCATCTGATGAAGGCTTTTCGTCAGGTCGCTAACAATGTCCGCGGCTTCGAGCAGAGATGAACCTACAGAATCATCTCCTTCACCAATCAGATCGACTGTCTTCCAGTCAATAAGATCTTGATGACCATGTAGCCACTGACGTTGTTCAGGAGTCATCCCCGCGATATCCTCCTGATATCCTCCTTCGTGTACTTCTTCCCATTTGTGGGAGGCGGCGGCGCTAACGGATCGGTTTTACTGGCACCGGTAGAGGTGGGGTTCCCGGTAGGCTCCCCGGCCGTCCAGCCCACAGGGGGCAACGAAGGATAAAGGGGCTTCTTCTCGTTTTTGTCGGTGCTCATTATCTAGAGCACGACAGCGCACAACAAAAAGCAAGAACCAAAAGTAAGCTAATGGTATCTTCCAACTCCCTCTACTCCGAGCACTACGCTCGAGCCAGACTCCAGCCCAGAGGTTTCCTCTATGGTCTCGACAGAGCACACAGAGAAAGAAACCCCAGCGAAAAAATCGACGTCTACTGCTAACACAGTTTCACCGTCCTTCCAGAAAAGAGAAAAGTACTAACGATTATGCGGATGCTGTTTTAGACCGAAAAAGCTTCGCGAGACGGAAGTACAGAACGGGATTCCGGCAAATGGTTGCGATGATGGTAGTGTAAGGAGCAAGTAGGTAGTAATAAAGGTTTTTTTGTACGATTTTTCGCGAAGGGTTATAATGAAGTCGAATAGAAACTAAACTCGCTACCACTGTAACGGGGCGGCTACAGACTAAGAGGAGCCTGGCTATACTGAGGATGCGCGACGAAAAGGATGTATATGAAATCAAGAATGGATTTCCGGAGCGAGAAGAAAGATGTCTATGAAATCAAGAATGGATTTCCGGAGCGAGAAGAAAGATGTCTGAATGACTGGGGAGAGCCCCTACAACCGAGGACAAGTATTTATACTTGTCCGAACAGAAAAGACTCTCGGACAGAAAAGAACAAATGACTAAGGGTGTGACCCGGGGTTCGGGACGGGGCATGAGGGTCATCCCGAACCCCAGACCCTGAAAATGCCCCGGGGCACCCTGAAGCCCCGGGTCATGGCCTTTTTTTTTCAGGCTCTGAAACTCGTGATCTTTTCATCCCATTAGGTTAGAAATTAGGGTATGGGTCCCTACGCAGCATAACTGTGCATGATGATGCCTGTGGGAGATAGGGGATTGGCCAAAATGGTGGGACTGCTCATTGATAAATCAATAATCTCATTCTCGGTTGCCGCATCCAGTCCTATCCTTATTTATCTCTTATATCAATATATATCATAATTAGCATCTCTCAATTTCTGATATGAAGAGAAAAACCCGTGATGCCCCTCCTCCTACTACTCAATCTGACTCCATAGATATTCCATCAGAAACTACTATTATTGACCTTGCCGATAGTGATGAAGATCAACCCCCTGCCCAAACCCTCCAGCGCAGTTGGGTTTGGAATCATTTCAAAACATTATCCAGCGACCCGACCCAAGCCATTTGTCAAGTTGTCCGGAAAGGTGGGAAGATCTGTGGGGTTTCTTTGACCAAAGGCAAGAGTGGAAGCACCAAAAACTTCCACGGTCATCTCTTGAAAATCCACCAGCTTGCTGATCCGAAGCTCTTGAAAAAGACCAAGAAGTCATCGCACATCGATATGGAGAAGTGGTCAAGGTCAGGAGGTTCGGGCTCCTCACAACCAAAGGTAAGCCTAATTCTTCTCATCTACTATGTCATCACAAAGCTAGGAAGATTGCTGACTAGGTGACTGGGGATACATTGTAGGTTGAGCTTAACAACGAGTCATTGAAGAATGCTCTAGTATATTTCCTAGCCGAGAGTGATCTTCCATTTACTATTGTTGAGCGCAAATCTTTCCGGGCGCTTGTTCACCTACTCAACGAGGGGGCCACACCCCTAATGGTCAATACGTGCCGAACTGGGATCGCAAACCACCTTGCCAGAGTTTTCCTCCAGTCACAAGAGACCGTCAAGCTCCAGTTTATCGCAAAGCAAGACCAAATATCATTCACCACGGATGCTTGGACTGCGCCAAACGTCACGGCTTTCATGTCGGTCACCGCTCATTACTTGGATGCAAACTTCGAAATGAAAGACTTGACTCTTTCTGTCCCTCATATCCAAGGTGTGTACAGCTGCTTATCTACTTGACTCAATGTGTTTTAATCAGATACTTACCTGTTGCTGTTGTTATCTTTCCTCTTCAGGCAACCATACTGGGAGGATGTTTGCCGATCTGTTCTACGATGAGCTTGAAAAGTATGGGTGTATTGACAAGATACACACCATTACTGCCGATAACGCTTCGACCAACAATAAGATGGCCCGGGAGTTATCTCTTCAAATCCCCTCGTTCAACCCTACAACCCACCTCCTTGGATGTGTTGCCCATGTCATTAATCTGGCCGCTAAAGCTGGAATTGCGGCCCTCGGATCTCTGGACGAGCCTGGTGATGGAGAAGAACTCTCAACCAGTGCAATGGGAGCGACTTCCCCCTTCCAAGTACCTGCTCAGCAAACCTCTGGAAACCGGATGGGGATCAATTTCATGACCTCCGGACCAGATGGAGCCGACATCGATGCTGGATCAATCCTCAAGAGGATTCACGGCCTATGTACATATGTTCGATTTTCACCTCAACGTCGTGAACGGTTTGCAAACGTTGTCAGCTTTACTCAGCCTGAACTTGTTGACAAGAAGATCACCTGTCTTGAAATCGATGTATCTACCCGCTGGAATTCTACATTCAACATGTTCCGTCGGGCCATTCTGCTTGAGCAATCATGTGATCAGTTTTGTCAATCACAACCAGAGACTCGAAAGTTTCTTTTGACGTTGAACGAGTGGAATCAAGCAAAGAATATCACAAAACTCCTTGAGCCTCTCAGCGAAGCAACCGAACTGTTGTGTGGATCAAAGTTTCCGACCCTCAACAACGCCCTTCCGGTCTACATCATTTTGATTAAACACCTTCATATTGCCAGGCGAGGCCTCTATGATCAAGCCCAGCTCGTCAACCCTGCGGCTCAGATGATCGCAAAGATCGATGGCTACCTTCGCGATGCACTCACTAAGCCGGTATACATTTGTGCGATGATCCTTGACCCCTCCTTCAAGGCTGCCTTCTGGAAGACCCATGAAAACTTCATCAGCGAACACTACTCGATCTCTCTCGATGACATTCTTTCGACTTTTCGCACGGCTGCGCACGATTTCAAGTCCACTTTGGGTGTAGCTGAAACCACACGCAATGCCCAAAAAGAAGCCCTGCCCTCTGGACCGATCACCCCAAGCTTCTTTGCTGCTGCCTTGTACCAACCAACCCTGCCGATCGAGGGGATCGAAGCGGAAATTACTCGATATTTAAAGGAGGATCCTGAACCCCAGGGTAGCAAGATACTTGTCTATTGGTCAAGTCGACAGAAGACCTTTCCCACCCTCTCGAAAATGGCACAACAATTCCTCTCAATTCCGGCAACTAGCGCGGCTTCCGAGCGTGTGTTTTCTAAAGGCCGACGAATTGTATCCTGGCAACGATCTTCGCTCAAGCCAAGAAGCATTGAACAGCTCTTGTGCCTCAAGGGGTGGTACCAATCTTTTAACGGCCCTTTCTAAGTCGTTTTCATTCTATAAGCAGCCGATGACATCACAGTTTTCTCGATTTTTTTCTCTTCTTTTCATTAACCTATCGTTGTAAATAGCTACGGCCAATAACTTCACTCAAAATCTAAAAAAAAAAAATCTTGTACATAGCACATGGCCACTTGGAAGCAATTAAAAAAACAATAAAATCCATTTTTCTTCCAGAATTCCGAGGAATTCTCCCTCCAATAAAAAATGGAAATGCCCCGGGGTTCAGGGTGTTCACAAGGCCCAGCCCGATGCCCCGAACCCTGGGGCAGCACCTCGGGGTGAGGCCCCGGGGCGCTTGTTCGGGGCACACCCTTACAAATGACAACCGAAAATATGAAATATGACGCCAGAATGAATAGTAATTCATTCAAGCGGAAGAATAAGGAAATGGGAATCGAACGGAGTTCGGTTCCTAACTCCGGCGCTAGCCGACATCTATAGACAACTCAACAAGTACCTGGCGTCTGCCAGGCTTGTTGCGTCATCCTGTCTGGAAACCCTGTAGCACGGCTACAGTCCCCGGCACTCGGCGAGAAGAAGGGGGTGAAGTTGATGGCCGTCCGCCTTGTCTTGGCATGGAAGGACCACGGCCAAAAGAGTTGTGTCCTGATCGGGCTGGTGAACATGGACGGAGCGGGTGAGATGAAGTACGTTCTAGAAAAATCGACTCTCTTGGCTGGAGACTTGGTGGCATAGAAGTTTAGAGAAATGGAAGCGGGTTGAGTCCGAGGGTAACTTTCTAGTACTTTCGCGGCTTCCCTGGGCCATCGTCCACCTGCCAGTACCATCCAACACTAGCACGGTACCCTTGGTGGCTGCCTTGGTCTATATAAGGAGCCTGTCTAGCAGCCCTCCTACCTCAGAATCGCAACACACATCCAACAACTCCAGAACTCAAACGAGTAGCATAACCCAAACCAAACCAAAAAGCTTACCACCCACAACTCGAAAAAAAGAAATGTCTTTCCTCATTGCACCTTCCCAATGGGACGACTTCGAGCAACTGTTCGACAAGCTAGTCACTGATCGCTACGGGCCCCCAGCCGACGGTTCGAAAGCTGGCTCGGAATCAAAGGCAGTCACCTCTGGTTCTCATCAGGTTAGCAAAATCCTCCGGCCCAAGATGGATGTTGTCGAAACGGACAGCTCGATCGTCGTGACTACTGAGCTTCCCGGTGCCAAAAAAGGTAAGCGAAGCCCCCAGAGTCATTCTGTTCAACCTTGAAAGCGAGCAAAACTGACGGCCTTTGTCTTGGCCTTGCACTGCAGAGGATATCTCTCGATCGATCTCCAGAATGGCCGTCTTTCTATCACCGGACAAACCAAAGCCTCGAGCGAACACTCTGAAGGAAGCGTCAGAGTAAGTCTCACTTCCACCTCTTTTTTTTCTTCCCTCCACAGCGCCCCCTCTCCTCCTCCCTCCAAGAGCTCGGAAGACTTACCTCTAATGCTTGGCCAGATTTCCGAGAGATCTTTCGGCTCGTTCAGTCGAGTGATCGCCGTTCCCCAAGGACTCACTCATGACCAAGTCAAGGCCGGATTCAAGGACGGCGTCCTCGAAGTCTCTATCCCCAAAACTGTCCCCAACAAAGAATCCCACAACATCCCCATCTCTTAGAAACTCGTTGGCCTTAGGTCTAGTTTTCATTATCTCCCAACTCTTGAATTGTCTTGCTACGTTTTACTTCCTTGTAAAATTCCCCTAGCTCTGTTTTTTTTTATTCAAAAAAATCCCAGGCTTGAGATAAAAATTGTTGCTCCTTTTTTCTTTGTTTGTACTCCTTTGGAAGCTATCCAATACTCCCCGTTGAAATACCATTTTGATCATTGTTCAGCTCACTGTAAGAAGAATGAGAGATACATACACAAGAAACCCATCGAGAATTTCACTTGTGGGATATGTTGAGTGACCCCCTGGCCCCTTGACGAATTCAACAGTCCTCGTATGGTTTGTATAGGGTAACTTAAATCGAGAGGAAGCTTGGACCCGAGGATAAAAGGGGGTGTACTGGGTCTCCCGATCATGCAGAATGCTGCCAGAGCTGTGCAGATGCATAGGGACCACCCGCAACAGTTTCACCAGGCCCCACCACACACCACAGCAACAGCACCCATCAGCAACGACATCCAACTATCCTCGAAGCACTTGACTCAGTCAACTACTTAATACCTGATCCCAGTAAGAAAGGAAGACCCGATACATACCATGAACAACGGTCAATCCGAAGAGAGAACTTCCCAAAACCGAGAAGAGAACACAACCCCAAACAAGCGTCCCAGAGGTTTGTCCTTCCACTTCAACCTTGGGATATCAAAACGAGGCACGAACTACATACGAAGCTAATGATCAAACACATCGCTACTTGCACGGTAAACCTAATTTCCCAAAAGATTCAGAATCCAACCCAGATTATTCGTCACCCAGACATCACCAGGGCCGGCGGTACAATGATCGGAACCCAAGAGACCATCAACGCCGGCGTACGGGTGGCTATAATGCCTCTCCAGCCCCAGCGTCCCATCTCGGTAGCACAACAGATCACCGATAACTTCTTGAAGGGCGCTCTGGACCTTTCGGTGACTCTGAACGCTTCGATTTTCGACACGAAATCCCTGAGCTCATCAAGAGAACCGAGTCTCATCACTCCCACCTTCATCTGATAGAGGATATCCTCAAGGCCTTCCGGATCGCGTTTGTGTCTCTTTTCTCCTTAGTATAAGTTGACCCTAAGGACGAAAGAAATATCGCGTTTGAAGAGTTACAAAAAAAACTGATTTATATTATCATGGAATTCTTATCCTCCAGGGCTGCTGAGTTACCACACAAGTTACCACACCTCGCACTTATGATATCTTTTCTCTCGGTGCCTCCACCAGCCAGCGAAACCACCAAAACTGAAGACCCTTCTGCGCCTTCGATAGGGGTTCAAATCATACGAGATCTGGCCCGCACTTTCCAATTGCACATCGATAATCGTCGATGGCGATCAACTAGGTTATACCTTCACCTGTTCGGTCATTTACACGCGCTTTCTCGTCCATTGGTTTCCTCCCAGTCTCTCCTCGCTCTACTTCGTGCGATTTTTAGCGCAACGACAGACGAATTGACTTGTACGGGTGCCCGTGCAGATGAGTGTTTGAGGATCGTTTGCGAGGGTCTGTTACGTAGCAATCTATTGAAAAGTGAGGATGATGAGGTTAAGAAGGAAGTCAACGAGCTCGTCGAATCCATTCGAGTTCATATGGTCGTCAATCGTCGTCTCGATCGCTCCTTGTTCAATGAATCTGATTGCCTTTCTCAATACATTGATGTCAGCCTCACAAATCACTTTTTTCACCATGTCTAAATCCTCTCATGATCGGCGGCTGATGGCAACTGTTTGATACCGGATTTTTTAGCCCGTCGAAGAACTTGTTGCTGCGCTCGATGGGGCACCTAGTGTTGATATCCTACCGGTTCTTGACGAGGCGTTTGGCCCCCTCCTTGAACAGCGTATTGCAGTCTCTGACCTCGAATCCCCATATCCAAAACCTTTCGACCTGCCGATCGTACTCTTGCCTCCCGACGTTGAAGAGCCTGGTCTAGAAACCCACCCTCCGGCTCCCAAACCTGAAAACCTTGGCAGTGATCCCGGCCCAATACCATTGGACTCAAAAGATCGCACAAATTACCTTGGTGTTAAATTGTTCCTGAAGCTCTTCTCTGACAATGTTTGTCCTGCTCTCCATTATCGTCTTCCTCCTTTGCTCGAAAGTCACATCCTCCTTCATTCACATTTCACCTAGCGCTTTCTTGCGATTTGTCTGAACAAATTTCTCTGATAATAATCTTTGCTATCTTCCTAGACCGTACCAAATCGAGCAACAGCTAACGGAGTGGTTCTGCGTACCTTGGTAAACGATGTTATCGATATATTCGAAGTCAACCGCAAAGAATGTGCTAAAATTCTACTCGAGCTACCCCGTTGGGTCGGCAGGGGTACTTTCAAAACCAAGGGTGCAGTCGCCAAACCCAAAACTGACGAAGCGGCCAACACCATTGAAGAATCAACAACTGAGTCACCTGAGTGGATTCTTGAGCATCTTCTTCTTGAAGTAAGATCTCTGGTTTTTTTCATTCTCTTGATCAGCTGCCGACCACGAAAAAATGCCGGCTAACACACTGATTCACTTGGACACTCGGGTCGGATAACTTAGTCGATTCTCACTTCTGTCTTCGCTACCCCGACTGCCCCGATCCGGCCGGTAGTTTATTACCATAGCCTGATAGTCGAACTTTGTCGACTGTCACCCTCGACTGTTGCCCCCGCGCTCGGCAAATCTGTCAGGAGGCTCTATGGTGGATTGGGAGAAGTTGGGGCTGATGCTGTGACAGTTAGATTGGAGCCTGAGGGCATTAGGCGGTTTGCTGAATGGTTCGGAATCCATCTGTCTAATTTTGGATTTTTATGGGCTTGGAAGGATTGGTACGTCATCTCGCACAAACTGTATCGCGACTGTTCACAATTTCTTTTAACTCATTGTGACATTGATCATTCTTAGGACGGACGTAACACAATTGCCGGTAGCTCATCCCAAGCGTGTATTTGTCTCTCGAGTGATCGAGCTGGAGATTAGATTGAGTTACTACGATCGCATCAAGGAGACAGTCCCTAGTGCATTTTTAGATGCCGAGCTGATGCCATCAGATGCACCTGGTCCTGCTTTTGAATACGAAGATCCCGGTAAGGCTCTGTTTAATAATGTCACAAACATGAATGTGACACAATATACTTACCAAGCCCATCAACGTCATTGCATTTTGGGTTTCTGTGGTCAATCTAGCGCATCGAGATCATCTTGCTGCGCTTGATGTTGTTCAGCTTTTGAAGCACAAAGAACCTGTGTCTCGACTGCTGGACTATCTCACAAAAATGCAAGAACGATTGATAACCGAAGGGATTCAGGAACCCGTACAAGACGTCACTCGGGAGGTGGCTATCCAAGCTCTCTTGAACGTCGGATCCCGATCCTTTTCGCATTTCTTGAATATTTTGGAAAGGTTGGTCACCTGCTTTTGCTCCAACAAAACACGCATGAAACAGCCCTAATGAATGACATGATAAAAAAAACTACTGCTTTTGTTTGCCTAGGTATTTGGAGCTCCTTCGAAACCTGACGAATTCTGCAAATGCACGAGCTTCATTGCTACAAACGGTGTCAAAATTCTGGAGAAAGAATGGGCAATTCGAGTTAATAGTGATCGACAAATTACTTGAATACCGAGTAATCGATCCGATCGATAGTCTCCGACATAGTTTCGAAACTTACAAGACATCTCAATGGGGTGAATTACAATTTTGGGATGGGATGAAACTGACGATCGAAAAAGTGACTAAAAGAGTGAAAGCTAGTCGTACCAAATTAGCCAAATTAAAGAAAGATGAAGAGGATCAACGCGATCGTCAACGTGCTGCTGGTGGCGAAATCTTGGAAACTGGAAATGGGACCGCCAACATGGGCGATATCAGTTGAGCTTTCTTTTCCGGATGTAAATTGTCCATTCGTCTTTTTGCAGTTTGATTGATTCGATATGAACATTTTGGATATCAGACATGAAAGAGGGGATCGAAGGAGAAGAAGGGAAAAAGGATGAGGAACCTACGGAAGAAGCCCAAGGAGAAAGTACCCAACTGAAAGAAGAATTGGAAACAATGAGACGAGATGAAATAGCGACAGCTGAAAGGGAATTGGAAGCCAATCTGACCGAGCAAGTCGTAGTCTTGGCCGAGGCGATCAGTCGCTTCTCGAGCGCTCGTTCAGAGGCAGAAGAAAAGCTTAAAACCGAACAGGAATCTGTTGGCGGTGAGGAGGAGGTAGAGCCATCGAACGGCGAGGAAAAGGACCAAGCCCGGAAGGTTTCTTCTAAGGATATCGCTTTTTGGAAAGCTTGGTGGCTCAGAGGATGGTGTCGAGAATTCTATAGATTGGTCAGTCTCACAGCTATGTACTCTGTCTTCTGTGTGGTGCCCATATTCACAAAAACCCCGACTTCTGTATGAACTCCCTTTCTTTCTCTCCTTTTTCTCAGTTTGGAACCGAAATTTGCACGCAATTTGATCAAATTATGGAGCGACTCGATCACCCAAAGCAATCAGTGGCTCCAAATGGACATGCCGATGACCAAGCCACTACTGAAGCTCAACCACCAACTAATGGATTGTTGACCGTCGACGAGAAAATCAAGGAAGAAATTAAATTGGCTAAGGAATGGGTCGAAACTGTTGGGTTACAATCCATGTAAAGAACATATCCGAAGTGGTACTTTACTCATTAGCACAATCAGGCCCAAAAGAAGAAGAATAAATAAAAAACTAAAACTAAATGATTGTTAGTCAAGCTATATAGTATGTTAGACCAATTGTAGAAAACACAAAATCTCATTGTTTGCGCTTCTTAAATATTGCTCTTGAAAAATATTGACTGATGCTATGGCAAAATTAACCGTAAAATTGTAACTCAAAAGTAAACTCGTACACAGTCCGTAACAATGATTTTATAAATATCAAGATGTCATATTCTGGTTGAAAGTTTGGATGGATCTACTTCCGTGAAACAAAACACGTACCTCTGAAAAATCTTCTGCTGCGTACATCACGAAGAAAAAAAAAAACAGAGTATAAGCTTTGCCAGTCACTGAGCTGGTTACTGAAGTTTCACTTTGACAATGCAGTCGACTGGGATAATGTGGCCAGCGTATTCAAGAGGTATCTGGAGTCCTAAATTCCGTACCTCAGAGGCTCTATCGAACAAATCCGGATCAACATTCCGTATTAGGCCATGCCAGCCGGCCTCAGTCACCTGCTGGTGGCCTCGCTGATGATCATCAACTGCAGTGCAATAGAAGACTTGATTGACGATCACGAGCTGTTTTCGGAGTGGGATATCCCTACAGCGGAGGAGGTGGCCCACTTCCTCCTTTCATCTCCTTCCCCGAATCATTCTCATCCCACAGATGGCCAAGATGATCTGGAAGTCCAGGCAGCTTCTGGAGCCTTGGGAGACGCCAGAAGTGTCCATGCCTTTTGCATCCCGGTCGTCCAGTCAATCGAAAATCGCCCGGCCCGCCATCCAGTCGGTCCTCTCCAATGGCAATCCGAAGCGGACAAGCGGCAATCCAGATTACTACCACACACTGATATCCCCATCCCCGAAGCCGCAAGGAAAAATTTAAAACGGAAACACCCCCAGCCTTCGTCACCTCCCAACACGAGGGATTCCTCTTCAGAGATGGATTCGCCAGTGTATGCACCTCTTCTTTTTGTGCGCGAGGCTAGGGCTCGACATCTAGCCACGAGAACCGGACACTCAATCGCTTGTGTAGCTCCGTCTGGTTTTCATGGGAGAACCGGACACTCAATCCCTTGTGTAGCTCCGTCTGGTTTTCATGGAATGATGGAGCAATCCGGGCATTGGAGCCCGCTGTTTCCCCTGATGGCTTCGAGTATAAGTAACCGGGATCTAGTAAACCAAGAGGCTAAGTGGTTTTTTCAAAAATCAGCCAACTCCATTTCCGAGGGGCCTGCTGATCCTCAGGATAGCCTCAGAGTCGCTGAAGCCGGTGCAACCACAGATTCCATGCCCTATTATGCAGAACCATTTGATGTGTTTAGGTTTGATGGAATTATGGACCAATCCAGCGCTTCAAGCCCGGCCCTCTCCCCATCAATTACTTCACGTGTCGTGAATCCAGCGCACCAGACGGGTACTTCATTTCCTCAAACTAAAGCTGACTCCATTAGCTCATATGATGGTCCCAAGACACATCCACCCTGTGCCAGGGCTCCTGAAAAATTGGTGCTCAATCCACAGAAATTAAGCAGCGTTGCTCAAGCTCAGAGTCGACAGGAATCTAGATTAGAAAGATTAGTGTTCGATAGGGAAGTTTTCGATTACCCTGACTCATCTCTCAGAAACGATCCCGCACGAAACAAGATTCTGGAGCTGCTAGACTTATTTTCGACTCGATACTCGCAGGAAAAGCTGGTGATGACGGAGGCCCAGTTTGCTACATATCATTTCAATCTCACTCGGGCCACCAAACCCTCTCATCAACAACCCAAAAATCAAACAAGTGAAAAAACTGAGGGGGCGACTAATCCAGACTATATAGCACGCTTTTCTACCGCCCAATCCATCTTCCTCAGTAACATGGAGCTCTGGATAGCGCATTGGCAGACGATTCCCGACTTCGAATGTCACCGGCTGGTCGAAAGGATCCATGACAGTAAGACGATTCGGCAAAGAGTCCTTCCCTGTGCATACATTTGGTTTGTCGAGATGATCAGCACGATTGTGCCCAAGTCCGCCGAAGAAGAAGAAGAAGAAGAGAAATCCATGGGCTCCGACCTGACCCTTGCATTCCGTATCTTCGAAACCACTTCCGGCCCAGTCGGTCACAGAAAGAGAAGATCAGATTCTAAGCAAGCATCGGTTGTCCAGTCGAATGAATCCCGTCCCCACCAGCCACACATCTCCGCCGATAGCACTATGAAGGCAATGCTTTGGAGGCTGTTGGAGGTCTGGTTACGTGCCTCTCGCAAATCATTCTTCGAGGCTACTCAGCATCATGGCCGCTTGTCTCAATCTATGAAAGCTTTCTTCAACAACATCTTTTGCTACTCCATCGAAGCACTCACTGATCGGTTCGGAACCAAATGATCGAGAGAACCTTTTGTACTTCAACTGGCCTTTCTTTTTCTTAGATGTACAATAGAGAAAATTAAAACATTGTATCAATATTTTTCTGGTATGACCTTTTTTTTGAAAGAAAACGTGTCTTTCTGCTTGTGTTCATTCACTCTTTTATCCAGTTGAGGGTTATTTGTATTGAAGCGAGGAAGCTCCACAACTAACTCTGAATCCAGGTAAACAGTAGCAGAGTGTGAATGGAATGTGAACTGTGGAGACGAGTTTCTCAAAATTAGTCAAATCCAGAGTGTTAGAAGAATTCCTCAACAATCACCAACAAATTGAGAGGGCCGACTATAGCAACCAGTGAACCCCCTCAAGCAACGTGACTGATAAGCTAAGATAAATGCAACAAAGTAGTTGATGCCAAATACTTGAGGGTGAATAATCCCTGATACGCTAGTAGACGTATGATGATCTTTTCAGGGAGAGATTGAACCTGGAGCGCCAATCCAATTGGACCCAAGAACATTTAAAATATCTTATATGAGTAGTGACAGTGTTCCAGCTTGCTATGTAAAGATGTGGATGCTGAATATCACAAGGAAGATGGTGATTGGTCTTTGTCAAGCCAACGTAAAAAGATAACCTTAATGGTGAGTAATGATCCTCTAGGCTCTATTGAAAGAATTCACCCTGTCTGGGGAAAGGGCTTGTATTGGCACATGAAGGAACTTGCAACAAAAGATGCATATAGAAGGTTGAAATCAGTTTTTTGAATCAGCTTCCCTGCAAAGAAGGGATCCTCTTTGGAAAGACTTGGAAAAGAATAAACAACTTTCACTTGTCAGAGAAATCTCATGCAAGCTGAGTGATTGTGACCTTTTTTTTCTTTCTTTCTTCTGGTCCATGCAACAAGGTGGTACACATTGAACCAAATTTCCATGATCTGGTACATGAAAAGATGTTGCAAAGATGATTGGAAGTTTTTGGTAGTTTTTTATCAGCGGCCAGTCTTTTTCTTCTGCCAGATGACTCACAAACAGCATGATCACTTTGTTGGTGCAAGAGTGGATTGGGCTGTGGGAGTGCTTTTTTTTATATGTAAGGGCTTCCCTCTGCCCTGGAACTGCAAGGGGCTAAAAAAAAAACTTGTGGTGGGATGCTGCTGGTATACGGCTTAAAAAGTGCAGGATGCTATGTAGTGCAACTTGATTTACTACATCTGATTGAGCATGAAGGTGGGTTGCTGTTGGAGGCTCAGAAAGATAAATGGAAAGGGCCACAGATGTTTTTACGTTTCCATTTGCAAAATTGCATGGGAACCAGAAACTAGTCTCAGAGCGGAAAATTTTCAACTTGCAAAAAAAAGAGAAAAAAAAAAAAGAACAAGTGCTGAAACAATCCAAGGAAAAAAAGAGGGAGAGAAATTGGTACAGAACAATCAACTTCAACCCATCTGCAGCATCCGATCCAGAAGGACGTCCTTTTTAAGAACTCCAAGGCCAGATCAACCAGCCGCAACCGACCCACCAAAGAGCCAGAGAATCGACAACCATCTAAATATACACAAAACAACCTGACACCCGCCACGAAGAATAAAAGATGAGCTCGTTCGGCACGATCTTCAGAGTCAGCACTGCAGGCGAGAGCCATTGCAGTGGTGTCACCGCTATCGTCGACGGCGTCCCGCCGGGCCTTCAATTAACCGAAGATGATCTGCAGACTCAACTCTCCAGACGGCGTCCTGGACAAAGCGATCTTACAACCCCTGTCAGTCATACCTTCCATCTCCTCCTCTCTTTTTTTCGTTCTTGTCCCACTATGATTCGCCCATCCAAACTGACATCCACTTTTTATCGCTTCCATGATGATAAACAATCAACAACAACGTTTCTTCTTCTTCTTGATTTGAATTGTTAAGAGGAACGAGAGTGACTTAGTCAAGATCCAATCGGGAGTCGAACATGGAGTCACGCTGGGCTCGCCGATCTCCTTGTTTGTGCCCAACAGAGACCAACGTCCACACGATTATTCAGAGACCGATTTTTACCCTCGTCCGAGTCATGCTGATTGGACGTATCTGCTCAGTACGGCATCAAATCTAGCAGTGGGGGTGGCAGAAGTAGCGCTCGCGAAACAATCGGTACACTCATCTCATTTCACTCTTTCGCTCGATCCTCAATTTGTCTTTTTTTTTTTTTTCAGGCCGATCCTTGCTGCTCCCAAATCGGCAAAATTTGAACCACTAGCTTGTTCATTGACTTGTTTTTTTTTTTTTTTTTCGGAAACAGCACGAGTAGCAGCAGGAGCGATAGCAGAGAAGTTCCTAAGGACAGCCTACGGAGTGGAGATTGTAGCCTTTGTATCCGGGGTAGGCCCGATCCACCTATCCTCCAAGTCGTTCTCACCGGTGACTGTCAATGGAAGCAATGGCACTCACCACGACGAGGATGAAGATTTCTCGGGCCCGGGCTTCCTCCAATTCCTCTCGGATATCACTCGGGAAGAGGTCGACAAGAGCGTCGTTCGATGTCCTCATGAGGCCACTGCCCAACGTATGACTCAGGTCAGTCTGCCACTCAATACTTTTAACTGATCGCTTTTATTTTCCTTCTCTCACCAATCAATAATTTGACTTACTTTGGGTCGATTGTGATTTTTCTTCAAAGCGAATAATGGAAGCTAAGGCAGCCGATGACAGTATCGGAGGAACGGTGACCTGTGTGATCAAGAACTGTCCTACCGGCCTAGGCGAGCCATGTTTCGACAAACTCGAAGCCAAACTAGCCCATGCAATCATGTCCATCCCCGCCACCAAAGGCTTCGAGATCGGCAGTGGCTTCAAAGGAGTCGAAATGGCCGGAAGCAAACATAACGACATGTTCACTAAGGGTGATAATGGCTTGTCCACTCTCACTAATCGTAGTGGTGGCATTCAAGGTGGGATCAGTAATGGCGAAAATATTTACTTCCGGTCAGTCTTCAGAAGTCTCTATTTATCTTCCTTGATGATTTGTGTATGTTTGAGAAAGAGAAGTGAAAATCCTCATCACTTTTCTGTTTCTTTTTTTAGCTGTGCGTTCAAGTCCCCTGCAACCATCGCCAAGGAACAACAGACGGCAACTTACAACGGAGAGAGTGGCGTCTTGGCCGCCCGAGGCCGACATGATCCATGTGTAGTCCCGCGAGCCGTGCCTATAGTTGAATCGATGGCGGCTCTGGTAATAATGGAGTAAGTCCGACTTTCAGCTTTTTCTTTCTATTTAATTTCGTGCTTCCAGCTGGCAAAAGTACTGACTTTACCAATCACATGGGTTTTTTTTTTCAGTGCTGTGCTTCTCCAAAACGCACGCGCTTCTTTCGCCAGTCTCTTACCCAAACCCACCACGCTCCCACCAACGATGATGATGCCCCCGAAGAACTAAGACGAACCATCATCTGTCTCGATCCCCTGCCTCTTCCAAGCATTCATTTTTTTGCCCACTTTGAATATACCCTGATAGAATCATCTGCTTGATTAATCTTCATCCCCCTTTTACAATTGAAGCAAAGTCCCTAAAGAAACATGGGCGTTTTTTCTTCTTCTTCTTCCTTTTGTTAGTTTCCCCATTAGGGATGGTTTATACCGGCCGACAACATACCTGGAGAACAGAAATTATGATAACCATTACCCGGCTTTCATTTGCCTTGTCTACAGAATCTCTATTACCCGCTGTAAAACAAGATCATCAATTCTTATTTTTTCAGAGGCGTAATCTGTTTCGTTAATCCCTATAACTGAACTTGCAGACAATTACCGCATCTACTTTGCATAGTATCTCCAACTAGAAAGCATTTTTTTTTTACATTTTTCTTAGCTATACTAACCTCAATATCTTGAATTAGATTGCAGAATCTTCGCGTGCATAACGTGACACTTACAAACGAAATGTATCGTCATTGTTGCAGTTTCTCATTCGATTGCCTGATAGCTCGCTGTATCAAGCGTTTGGAACTTAGGCAATAGAGCACCATAGGCTGATCGTGAGGGCCGCCGTACATTATTGACAAAGCGTCTGCTTTCCACAGGTTGATTGGATCACACTCAAAAGAGCACGTTTCTTGCAAAATCATCATCATTTCTTACATCAAAACCAAAGCTATCATTCCATAATTCAATCAGGACGATTTGGAGACTTCGTTCGATGGGTCAGCACTAAATTGATCGATTTTCTGGATTAAGGCCACTTGATCCTCTGGTGAACAGAAAGTGCAAGTGATCGACTCTTTCAATAAAGAGACCAACTTCTGTCTATCATGATTCAATAAACTTAAAGCCCATTCGTACTCCTCACTGAGTGTGGTACCAAAGACCAACGTATCGTCGGTCTATTTCGACCGATTAAAACCCAAGAAGATGTCGATATGTTTGCACTGAAAAAAGTGCTTGGTCAATGGGTATTGAGTAGTGCTGCTTACCGAGATCAAGACCGGCACATGGTTGTTGACCGCCCACGCAAAATGATGCTCCTCCAACGAGCGGATCGAGCCTACTTTCAGGTTCGATGTCAGACAGATTTCGATCGGCCGTTTCTGCTGGACTATGGTTTCGGCTACTTCGGCCGTCAGGAAAACCGCATGTCCTAGTCGGTCCGGCTTTAATTCAGTTAACTGCTTCTCAAGAAAAGGTCTTTGTTCGACTACCTACAGCATGGTTTTCAAAAGGAAAGGTCATGTAAGTTAATGGTTAAAATTTTCATTCGTTGTGATCATTGGAAGCACCTCAGCAAAATGGATTGTTAGCTTGAGTCCATTGACTTGAGCCTTGACTAGTTCTCTGGTAAAGCCATCGGTCCGAAAGATGCTCATTTGAGGATCCCCAGCGACATCGATAGCGACTACACAGCGACCGGCGTCACGAGCCTTAGTGGCCAATTGGACGATCTCCTTGACTTGATCGGGCCCGAAATCCCAGTTGACGGTCAGGATCAAGCGGACCATCATCTTGGATTCGTCGTTCCGATCGATCGCTTCAATCACCGCATCCAGATACTCGCTAAACGAATCCGAGCCGGCTCGGAATTTCCGCGGAGTCGTTCGCAGCTCCAGATAGATGCAGCCGTCGGCCCTGAATGACGACAACACCGCACTCGTCGCTCGGGTGATCGCTTCAGGCGTATCTAGTATGTGGTAGATGTGCTCGCCGAAAAGGGTAAAAAAACTACATCAAAATATAAAAAATATAAAGGTCGACTGGATATACATGGATGAGAGTTTTTAATCCAAGTCGATGGGAATTTAACGAGGATACAATTCGAAGCGATTGCTAACCTTTGCAAATCCGTGTAATCCGACGGAGATGGACAAGCTCCTAAGTTGGGTTGTCTTTCCTTAGCATCCTTGTGCAGTTCTTGCAAGACCTCTAGGGGAATCGAGCCGCTCAGATGGGCATGACTGTCATCAACAAGGTCTATAGTTAAAAATTTACAACGTCGAAGGAGATCTCCTGGATGGTTTAATGGGGTTCACAACGGATGATGAGCTTACCATTCTATCTTGGGCAGCTTTTGACAAAACGTTTTCGAATCCATTCCTGCCAACCAAGCTTCTTCCGGTAGCTTCTTATATACCCTGGAGTTTATAACATGAATTCAATCGGAATAAATATGTCCACTTCGAACTCGATCATGTTGGTCAAAGCGCAGATGTAACCACTTTCCCCCGACGGTTTGACCGCCCTTGCCAAACCCTTCTACCTCGCCCCGGCATCCTGATACCGGAAGCCTGGGTGCTTTTTGGAATTCAAGACTTCTAAAGTCCACTTTGATTGTCTTGACAGCACGCGTCCTACAATGGCATTAAAGATTGCACAAATTTTTCTTCACAAAAAATAAAATGTAAGAAACATTCATGAGCTACCCGCGGCTCATGAGGTCATCTCAAAGATCGTCAAAGCCAATCAAATAAGCAGATAAACTCAGGAATGGAGGCCGTGTGGCTGACTCTAACATGCTCATGTGAGTGGTCTGAGCTCAATGTCATTGTAGACTACTACAGGTGGAAGAGAAACAGGCAGTCACAGCAGACACATCACCTTTCATTTTCTAGCACGTTTTCGCGCAAATAAGCCATCCAATCTCTACAGGAAGACAACCCATCCTGCTCGAAATCAATAGCCACAAATCGTCTGACGGTTTCCTCCATCCTCCCAAGCTCCTCGCGCTCATCCTCATCCAATCGAACGTCAAGCAATTCCAGAATCTCGTGTCGACTGAGAAGACGGCTCACTCGATCTGCTTTCAATCGGATATGTCTTGGAACACCGGCTTGGGCGGCGCATCCCATGGCATGGGACGAACTGACAAGATCAGGCGCGAGCTTATAGAGGTATGTTGGTGAGTTCTCCTCTTCTGGCCCCCCTCCGTCTTTCAGGACAATACACATGTGTGTGTAATCGATCGGAAGATCAAGTGAGAGAAACCCATTGGTAAAAACACCTAAAACAGAAGAGCAACGATGTTAAAAATTAAGTAGACATCCACATTGTCTTCTATGCAATCAGGGGGTGATGTGCTCACCATGAAAGTGGGTAGAAACCAGCGTGATTGGACAGCTTGATCCTCTCGAGATTAAATGCTCTATGACACCACAAAATAGAGCCTGCCCATCTGAAGCAATGTAAATTAAGCATCGGAAAATCAGCTAGAAAGCGCATAAGTTTGGGTTGTCTCTGACCTGTGGGATCCGTCCCCTTTCCAAATTCATCTATGAGCAAAAGCGACCTAGCAGTGCAGTTACGCAGCCTACGATGTTTAAGAAGTAGTACTGTAGTGAGTGGTCAGATGGGAAAGAATGCAAGGTGTCGCCCTGTAGAAAAGTTAGTGATTGTGCTTGTGAGGATGCAACAAACTGACATGAAAGAAACCCTTAGTAGATCAATCATAAATGCGGAAGAACTTCGGGATGCACTCTCGGTGGTGGATACCCTTGTAAATACCGCATCATGAATTCCAATATGGGCCTCTTCTGCGGGTACAAATGAACCCAGTTGTGCCATAATGACAATCATTGCCACTTGCTTCAGATATACACTTTTTCCGGAAAAGTTGGCCCCTGTGAGAACAATCATTGGATTGCCTGTGTAAGACTCGGTGCTCTTGCGCTTCTTTCTTTGGGCCTTAGAGGGTGCGCTTGCAACCTGTGGTTCAATGTTATTAAATAGAATCAGGCACGGTTCGGGGTTGTTCAATTCAAACAAATCCCCAGAATACGAACCAGATGAGTATCATTCGGAATGTAATTTTCGACACAACCTTCCACCAGGGGATGACGTCCGGCAATGATTTGAATAGTATTCTGATTGAGGATTTTAGGACGAACCCACGTTCTTTCGAATGTAACTTTGGCGAGGGATAAAAGACTAAAAGTAGGGTGTGCTTCAGAAATTCCCTATTCAAAAACTTATAGAAATTCACCGGTAGGGAAAGGGTCATACCAATCTAGCTCAGCTAAATCATCATTAACACTTAGTAAGATGCTAGCAAATTTGGAAACCTCCTCTTCCAGAATGTGCACTACAATTGAGCCCGTTTATACATCGGCGCGGATTCTTTTAATTTGATTCGATTTTGAGACATAGACTCCTGACCAAGCTCGATCTCTCTGTCATCAATAGCGGTCGCCAGATCTCCGTAATGGTCATCCAACTCTCGCATGAGTCCATTTTTGTAGTGCTCTTCAGTATCAGTGGAGAACTTGATGCAGTAGGGGAAATGAAAACGATGTTGGCGACTCAGCAGATTGATAGAAACAAGACAAGTCTCTGTGCTTTACCTGGAATTCCCAATCTTCCAACGTTGACGGATCAACACTGCCGCTAGGAGTGGGGAAAGGTATGGCGCAAAGGTAACCGATCTGAGTGCAACAACATGCTGATCACCGGTAAGCCTATACATATCCGCGGTACCGGGGCAAACTTGATGATAACTCGATACATACCTGGGGGAAATAGTTGATGGAGAACCCCGGCAGAGACTTGAAAGGAGTCTCCGTGCTGACTTTTTCGGCTATGAAACACTGGTAAAGAGGTCGGAAAACAACTGTCATCAGTCATACTGGATGATGCTTTTGGCGTAAGGCAATCTCAGTGCACATTTCTCAAGTATCGAACTTGCAAGTAAGGCCAATAAGCTTGTTTGGGAATACAGAAATTATCATGGATGAATCATTGTACTAGAGTAGAAACACAAAATACCCACAAGTTGGGTCTCCATTGAAGCATATTGCCCTCGATAACCATCCAGCTCTTCATCAACATCTGATCGGATCGTGACCCGACCTCCGTTGAGTTTGCTTTCAGACCAGTCAATCAATTCTTCAATATTGGAAGCCAGTGGTTCCAAGTCTATCTCAAGCCGATCTCTGCTTTTCATCTTGGTCAAATCGTAGTCGATTGGTGAGCAAAGGATTCCTCCACCTATTCATCATTTTATTCTTTGCTCGATCTGGTGGCCCACTTTGATAAATAGAGGGGTTTCGATAGTCAAATTCATCTTGGAGAAATCCTCGTAAAGTGCTTGGCAAGCATGAATCGAATTGGTTAAAGATTTCCATTCACCAACTCGAGATTTCCCGCTTGATATTATCATTGTGGTTCGGTTGATGTTACCTAGTAGCTTGAGATCTTGTCTCATTTTTCCTACATAGTCCGCTGAAAACGCCAAATCAAGCAGCTGATTAACACTTGGTAGAGAGGCAAAGAGGGAAAGTAATAATATCACCACACCATTTTCTGGCTCCAGAAAGCACTCAATCGCATCTTGACGAGATCCGATCACTTTTGGATCAGTACTTGGTCTGAGTAGCCAGTTTCGAAGTAACAGCTTTCCGTTGTGAGTAATGCACTCATTCAGAATTCCATATAGTGATAATCCTTCTTTTGTTTTGGAGAAATGTGAATTAGCATGTGCTTCCTGGTCGAAAATCTGTAAGGATTGAATGGCATCGTTGCCTAAATGCATGAATCTGTGCCCAAAAACATGCAGACCAAGTTTTGTCAGTTGTCCAGATGAGCTTGGAGGACTTCCCTTCGATTTTACAGCCCTGTAAAGCTATCTTTACAGGCTGTAAGCTGTTTTCCTTAGCTTTACAGCTTGTAAATCTTGGCTTCACAGAGCCTGTAAAACCGACCAGAAGTCATCCAGTAACTAATCATAATTAACATTCAGACAAATAACTTTTAACTTGATCCTCACTTTTGGGTTTTAATCATTTCCACTTTGCTCACGAACAGTCCACCCTGAGGGGAATCATTATCTTGATCCCTGGCAATGCCACTTTGCAAGTAAGATAACAGAGCGGCTACGGCACCCAACTGACAAAACAGAATGCGTTCATTAAACTCGTCTCTCAGTCCTTCCAGAGGTTTAACTTGGGGAAAAGTACCCACCGAATAGTGAGAAGCTTCAACATTTATAAACGCGTTTGCCGTCAGGTTAGAATTCTTGCTGAAGTGAATATCTCTTCCAGGATCTTGAGACGCCGTCGACCTGGTCGATGTACTGGAAGAATGGTGGTTTCCTGATGGGACTACACCATCTTGGCTGCGAACGCTCAACCGCTGCAGCTTCTTAAAGCCATCGGAAGCAGAGTATTCTCGAGACGGTCTTTTCACAACGGTCGGCGTCTTGTCGATCCCTCCCGGGCATTCTGGATCCCATCAGAAGGGCAAGATTTGATTTTGAAGACCCTTGTGTCACCTCAGCTTCAAGCTAAGGAAGAATCGATAAGGATAGATCGACGCGACAGACTGACCAGCCTTTTGGATACAAGATGTCAAGCTTTCCTCTGCCTTTGAGCTCAGTAATACCACCTCTGGCATGACTTGCTCAAGCACTATCATGTTCCGACATATGAGCCGATCAATCACTACATTTGATTGGAAAAAAAAAATCTTGTTAAGGTCAACAGCTTACGCATGATGAGAACTTCGAATTCTCCACCGGTATCCACCGCATCTTCCATGAGGTAAAAGATCCCATTCGAAGGATCATAGTAGGCGCCGCCCATTGTATTCTGACTCGAAGGCAAATAAAAAGAAAGAAATTCAAAATGTCTCGAGGGTCGCGTGAGTCCGAAGCACGACTACTCACCTTCCAGCCGTTGACCGCGAACGCGAACTGTTAGGTTTCCCGAACCAAGACATTAGTAGATATATATACATATATATGGATTGGCTATAACTAAAGAGAAAACAAGTGAAACATGCCTGTTTTATCCCTTCTCCATCACCGGAGCTGCTCCCACTATTGGCACTTCCAATGTCACCTGTTGGAGTTTCTTTGCTCATGATGAATCCGTCACGAAATGTTAGGAGAGAAGAGAATGCTATAAAATGTGTGGGAGTGCAAGTTCAACCTAGGAAGATTGTTGCATGTTTAATCGGGTGCCTGCTTGCTCGAGTGCCTCGGGCTTGACTTCCAAATCCTTCTGGTAAAGGGCCGCATACACCCAGCAGACCTCTTGACCAAATGACGTCATTGACAGACTCCACCGTAAGATGTGCTGTGACCTAGCACAATGATCATTAATTCTTACTGCCTGTCGGAGTCATTTTGGGCCGGCTATTTATGTATCAGTCATGCTTCAGAGCCGGGTATGTGTTCTAGCAGGCTAGCAGATCTACCCGCACAAAGCCAAGCCGACCGAGCAGGATGGAGCATATTATTATCACCAAATCTAAGGGCATAGCTTGTCAGGCCTTGATCGTGAAACCATCCCCCCAGCTGATGGGTTGACTTGCTTGAAAGCAGCACAAGTTCAGAGTTCTATATACATATACTGCGACCAATCGATCTATTCCCTTCACCTTGATGTCAAACTTACATTATGAGAGCAACTCCACCGCGGGCGCTAAATCGGGTCCCTAGTTGGAATTTACCGACCCAACATGAGCCACCGCGGCCGCTGTTTGAGTCTCAAATCTACGGCCGCCCCTAAATTTTGTGCCCGAGTAGGCCCGAGTCCCTACATGTAGGGACTCCTAGCGACTCCTCTATCGACCTCCCAATCCCCTTTCACATAACAACTAACTTGTGAAACTCTACTACCTCAATACAAATTGGTTCCAACTTCACACACCACTCATCCTTTCACACATTGTTAAAGACGCTCGCGGTGTATGCCGCAGCACTTTGAGGCTGTAAGAGCAACTCCACCGCGGGCCGTAAATCGGGGCCGTAGGTGGAATTTACAGACTCGACACGACCCACCGCGGTCGCTAAAATCTACGGCAGGCCGTAAAATCTCCTTGCGAGTCCTCACATGTAGGGACTCCTAGGGACTCACCTACGGCCCTAACTTAACACAAGTCCCTCCTCCAAGGAGGCGCGAAGCGCCTCCGCAGGAGGGACTTGCATGTAATGTGCCATACCTGGTGTGAGGGCAACCAGCCATTTGGCTGGGGAGATCATCCAGGCCCCAATATCCTCACAACCACTCAGATTCAGGCCCTGCCACCTGTACCATTGAAATCCTTGCCATTTTTTGGCCCACCTCCAACCCAAGAGACACAACTTACGTTACACAGCTGGTAACTAAGGAGATGGATAAAAAGCTTTCTGATCACAATCCGCCCTCAATCAACCACGGATATCCCCTCGGATCAATCTGGAGATTTATACATACAAACCCAGAAGCATACATATTAAATATGTATTTCACTACATCCATACTATGTGAGATTCACTTGGCTCATCTGCATAAGCATTTCAAAGTTCAACACCAACCGACTGGAATACAGAGACAGAAAAATGGAACAGCCCGGCGAACTTGGCGAGTACGATATTGGCGGAGTAGATGAGATCAACATCCCTGAACATGATAACTTGACACGCACTGAAGGCCAGAAGCTCCTTCACATCTGCATGGAACTTCAGAAGATGAAAATGACTCCGAAAGAATTCATCACCGCTTTCCTCCAGTCCAACGATCCGAAGATTGCTTACCGACAACGATACTGGCGCACTGAAACGGGCCTGAAGGGAACTATGGAGGTGGTTCGAGCAATCAAGATGGTGACAACCAGTACAACCTTGGGTACTCATAGCTGGAAAGAATTCATCAGCAACGAGGCAAGTTGTAACTATATGGTCCTCTTTATCTACAATTCTACTTCATTCATATCATACATGCTCAGTAACTAACTTGCATTTGTTTATACCAAGGCTGTCGAAATACTACTTCAAGAGAGTCCACCTAGTGGCTATCATCCTAATGGCTCCTTTTATAGTAGCCAAGAGGTTGAACCCTCTTTTTTTACACACGAAGCGGCTTTGGAACGTGAGAAGTTGCTCAGCAAAGAACACATGCCGTTCCTGTACTCGATTTTGAAGCGAACCATGAACAACGGAAACAGGATTGAAGATGACAACGATGATTCTTATCAATATGACGATCCAGATGAAGACAGAATATTGGAACTTGAAGGGTCGTCATTTGAATCGGTCCCTTCGTTAGTCAATCGAAAATCTAAGGTCAATTACATCAATTTTTTATCCATTTGATGTATCTTGCTGTTGTGATTGTTGCTGATGGGACCAAAAAACAGATTGCTTCTACAATTTGTTCCATGGTGTCATTTGCTAGGAACCGGAGACACAATGGCCTGCAGCTTTTCAATAGTGTACGATTTGTTTCTGCTGGCCTGAGTGAGCAGATGAATGACTATCTGCACTTCATTGGAATTACGTCCTGTCGACAAACCGCAATCGCTGCTCTTACAGTTTTATCTTCTCGTTCAGCACGTGAACTCAAGACAGGAATGAAGCTCAATGGAAGCTTTCCACTCGGCCCCAGTATATGTATTGATAATCTCGATATGGAGCAGCGTGTTCATACACATTCAGTCGGCCATCGATCCCTGATGTTTCATGGCACCTGGGGCTATATTCATCACCCACCGTCATCTCTTCTAGCAACTGTAAATCATGATGAACTCACCTTAGACTCATATTACAAATCACTGAGCAATATTCCTAATTTGAAACTTTGACCATCACTGCTCATGCCCACTTTAGAAGAGGACTTGCATTATGAGGCAGTTCTCAAAAGCCAGATTGCTCGAGTCATGTTTAATTACATTGCGCAACCCTTACATAAACCTACTGCAATTCCAATGAAACCTCCGCCAATCGATGTGATCGATCCCTCCCCTCCAAAAATCCAGATGCTGAAGCTCATGGAAGCTTCAGACAACTCAGCTGAGGGTTTTGGACAAGTTGTCGCAACCATCCTCAATCAAACAGGGCTGTCACCAGAAGAGTTTTGTTCCCGACTTCAACTCATCGATGGAGACCTTGGAACGTCTAAAAACTTCAATTCAATCCGGGCCCTACGCACACCCAGCAAGTACGCTGATCATCGACTTCACAATGTCTGTTTTCAGCTTGGCGCTGCACACATCTTATGGAATATCTCACAAACAATCTTAACGGTTCATTTTGGAGACACAACACGGTCAAATGATTTAGGTACTTGGCAGTACTTGCATGCACTTGGCATCCCCTCCGAAAAGGCAATCCCCAAAAAGGACTTTACCTCCATGATTAACCACATTTAGAAAGCCCACGAGGCAACTATTTTTTATTGCCTTCGGTGAGCCAGTTGCTTTTCATCAGCTTGTCATTATGTTATTCTTGGACTGATAAAAATGTATTTTAGATTGATCATGGGGACTGAAAATCAGCCCATTAATGATTCACCACCAAAGATTGCAACGGAAGAGTGGAATGCAACAGTAGAAGCCTGCTACAAGAAGTTCTTTTCTCCCGAGGCCCGTCAAGCTACATCAAAAGAAAATTGTCCAAAACTCCATGCTCTCCTGTTCCGTTTGCATGACTTTTCCACTGTTGTGGAGGCAAATCGTGCAATGAAGGCTGGAGATGTGGGGAGATTAATGAATATATGGAAAATCTGGTCGATTATGTCCCAAGCACTACCAGGACTAGTCAACTATAGATCTTACCTCCCTCGAATGGTCCTTCTCCTCCAGAATATTCTCCCTCCCTCACTCAGAAAGTACATCCTCCACACTCTACTTATATCACCAAGTGGCCAAGAAAATCACTTCGTCGCCAAAGATTACTACCTGGAGTTGCAAAATTACTCGCTCAAATATTTTTACAATCGAACTGGTGCCGGTACTCAGGTTGAAAGATTGCGAGAGATGTTTTCAATGAACATGAACTTGGTGAGTTATTGAGATACAAACAATTTTAAGACAAAAATTGAATCTGATTTTCTGTCTTAGCTTCGGTCATTGTTTCTCAGCCTCAGGATGGAAAGAGGTAGACGCTTGGTTCATCAATCTCACAAAAATCAAATCACCACTCGCTCTCTAGAAATGTTTGTTCGTATGGCTCGCAATGAGGATATCACTGATAAAAATCATAAAGATTCAAATCAATCTCTCCCGGACACTCAGGATTACTTACTCGAAGGTCTGAAAGTCCTCCAGAGGGATTTTTTTTCTGGAAAAATCGGCTGATTCAAATTACATTTCTTCTGGGATGCTCCCCCTGGCAAATCAAGCAAAAATATTGTTCAACAAGATGCAACCGAACTTAGATTGAAGCACGTGAAGAACAAGAACGCGGACAACAAGGAACAAACCAAGAACAACAAGAAGACACTGCAATAACAACTATTGAATTCTAGCCAGCACTCTGAATTTTCACCCGATCGATCGTTTATGCTTCTGATTCAGTTTGATTTGTTAGGAATATTTGTAGTGGTTGTAATGCTAGCTTGAGATGCTGCAAGAGCTTTTTTCTTTGCACGATAACGAGCTGCCGATTCCCTTCTCTTCTTCTTCTTAGCCTCTTCGGCTTCTTCCTTTAGTCGCTCCTGATTTACGATATGTTGTTGATAGTCGGGGTCGTTTTTGAATTTAGCAATTGAGTTCATTAAAAATTGAATCTGTCCATCTATGACTTCACCGCCAATGATTCTCTCAAGAGTATCTAAGTTGTCCAAGTCCTCGAAATGCAAAATGATTGCATCAACATGTTCCTCTCGGAATAGGTCGCAGGCGGAAAAACGTGATGATCGGCCCATGCGAGCATTGTAGTACTCCCGGAAATACAAGAGCATGTAATTTTTGAATTTATCAACTAATGCTTTGTTGGATTCAGCCCCCAACAGTGAGTTTTCAACACGTCGGGTTTGCTTTCGCTTCTTAGACTCAATGATTGAGTCTTCAGTAAATTTGAACCGATCGTTCATCACATCATCAAAGTTGTGCCGTGATAATTCTTTCAGATTTTCAATCAGTTTGATCCCAGAATCGATGTTGCAGTTGGTACACCTGCATGGTGGAAACTGGCACAATTTCTCACGATTGATCTCGGCAACGTAGTTTGGATCGGTCTCAGAGAGCGGTACGTAGCCATATTTATTGTCGATTGCGAATGCAACCCGAAGGCAAACACGAGTAATTGCGAGTGCGTCCATACGATCAACGGTGCCACAGAGACAATACGATACGGTATCAGGCGTTTATCTGTATCGTCTCAGAATTGGAATACCCAAAAATACCGGATTTGTGTTGTCTCACTTTCCTGAGACATATACATGTATCGTATTTGAAAAGTGAGAAATGTATTCTGTATCGTCTCAGATGACTGATCCCACCAAAACCGTATTTGATACATAAGATATTTGGCTGTATTGAAGAAAAAACGAAAAAAACGAAGACGATTTTTTTTTTTTTTTCATTTTTAAATCCAAATCCGATACAATGTATTTTTTCACCAACCAAGGAAATACTGATACCGGTATCAGGCTCAAAATAAATACGATACGATCCGATACAAATACATGTCTCGTATCTGTGGCACCGTTGATACGATCGTCGTCAGATTGTTGCTGAACATTAACAAAATCGTTGTGAGAACTCCTTTGGGATGGGTTGGCAGTCCTTGAGGGGGAAATAACAATAATGATATTTCACTAGATAATATTTACTGTTACGGGTGGTTTGAAAGACCTGCCCCTCTATTTACTACACAAGAATTCTGACAACAATTTAATTTATTGTTGTGGCGTAACTTTATGATGGAGAAAACTTGATATGTAGTAGTCTCTATCAGACCTAGATCAGTATGTAATTCAATACAAGATGGTTGTACAACCTTTACACGGTGAATGTGGGTGTGAAAACAATCCAAGTGGAATATTTGTATAGGGTTTTATGGTTTTACGGTGATCCTGGATAAGTAGTGAAACTGTTGGTTGTTGTTGTTGATGTTGATGTTGATGTTGGTGTTGGTGTTGGTGTTGGTGTTGGTGTTGTTGTTGGTGTTGTTGTTGTTACTGGTGTTGACTAGACTTTAATGTTGAAGGTGTTTGTGTTGATGACCACTGAGCTGGCTGGGGGGAATGAACCGGCTGGGTGATGATGGTGTTGACCACTGAGCTAGCTGGGTACTGTGCTGGCTGGGTGATGATGGTGTTGACCACTGAGCTAGCTGGGTACTGTGCTGGCTGGGTGATGATGGGGGGAATTGGTGAAGGAGAGGCCTCCTTATATATTCTTTTCTGAGTTATTTTTGCTGGTGGGGATGCAGTTGAGGTGATTTTGCTGGTGGTGACCTTGTGGGTTGCACTGCCTCCTGCAAAGAGTACATGCATTGAGCTAATTATGCTGTGGAAATAACTAAATATGGTACTACTGTATGTAAGGATTGCATAACTGGTTGCACTGCCTGGTGGAGGTTTTTCTGTCCACATGCATTTATGCAAAGTCTGCGTAAATTCAATTAAGTTACTAAGTGGAGGTCTAATGGTTGCACATATGCATGCAAGAGTTGCATAACTGCCCTGCACTACTGGTGGAGGCCTGCTGATGTAATAATCTATGTTTATGTACATATATATATGTGGTAAACTACTATTGAATACTAATTAATGACTAGTTATGGTATGGCTTTAACCTTTATATTGGATTATCTTCTAAGCTAATAGAGATAGAGGTATAGTTGTAGTGAGTGACTATGGGTAAAATTGTATGTAGATTCTGATTATGTAATAATATATTCATATATGTAAGTGGTTTAGGTTATAAGGTAGGGGTTTTGGCAGTTTTGTTGCGCACAACAGCCTGGACCACCACATCGTCAATTGAATTTTTTCCACCCTTGCGATTCCCTTCAACAAATAGGATTGCAAGACCGTCCTTCCCATCTCTCCCACACCTGGCAAACAACAAAATGGCAAGTAAGTACATCTGAAATCATCCTGAGATCAGAGGCTAATGATCAACCATACCTTCCAATCATTTGCATGATATTTGCAGGATCGGCCCGCCCCATGTGGATAACACAACGAACTCGCTTCCAATTTTGACTGAGGCCCAGTGCCATGGTTGACGATATTATTGGAAACTGTCCCTTAGAGAACCCCTCCACAACGTCTACTTTATCTTTATCGCCGGTACACGCATGGAATCGCCTGGCTAGCGTATTGTTTGGATCCAAGCAATTTTGAGGCGTCCCACGAGCCATATCAAGAACTTGCAACACCGTTAATGTCCGAGCCCGAGTTCCACTGTAGATCAAAGTTGGAACGAGATCATCATCTGACAACTTCTTTTTTGTGGGGAAAACATTCAGCAGGTCCAAGTTTGATCGCAGTGAGAAATTCATTTTGATACGAATGATTCGAATCTCCTTCCGACTCAACTCGCCTCGCATGATGTTGATTAGATCCTCGGTCAGTTTTAAGCTTTTCAATATTGCATCAATTGCTACTGGTCAACAAGTTGCTGAAAGCATCAGTATAGGTGCTTTATTTCGGCATTGTAAGTGTAGCGCTAGTTTTCCGTAAGACGGTCGAAAGATTCCAATGTCTTCAAGTCGAATAAACACTGCATTGACTCTTCTTCCATTACTCTGCACAAGTCCCCACAGGTAGATCATATGCGCTTCGTCCACCACTACCAACGCAAGCCGTTGTTGGAACTCAGTGCTGAAGTACACCGTATCCCACAGCTTGTTATTCAAGAATATCTCTGGACTGAGATACACGAAATTGTAATCGCCCTGCTGAATTTCATCCGCCACTTGTTTATTGAACGTAAGCTTTGTCAAATTGATGGCAGAGAACTTGCCTTGTTTCTCTGCCACCTGATTATCACCCAATGCATCCAAAGGGTTCAGAACAAGGATCACCGGTTTAGTGTTTTGAGGTAAGAGCTTGAAGTACATTTCCGATATTCTTGACTTTCCATATCCGGTCCCAGCCAACAGAAAAGTATTCCGACCTTGCGCAAGGTTTGTAACCACATCAATTTGAAGGGCCTTCGCTTCTTCGCCGTTGTAGAAATTCTTCGCTCGTGATGCTATCTCTTTCTTCAATTCATCATCATTTGCTTTGAGCAGTTTCTTGCAGATCGTCACGCCAGTATTCAGTTGTTTGGGTGTATGGCGAATCGGTTTTGCATTAGCCGGTTTAGGTTTATTTTCCGTCGCTTTTATTGTTGGACTCGTCGGATGCGCCTTTGTTCTGTGTTTTTCTTTTCTAGTAATTGCCATTTCGGTCTAGTAATAGGAAGTACTTCAAGCGAGGAATTTCTTCAAGTACTCGTTTCAGAACTCAACTCGATTGCAATGATCAATTTCAAATTTTAAACAAGAATTTAAGTCCATACACAAAAAACCGTGAGACTCTCATTGATCCGACCAAAGCAGAATCCGATGGGTCAAGAAAGACGTTTTTCAAAGTGCCCTTACAAAAACAGGTGGCAAGCAGCCGTTTGTGGGTCAAATTTTACAAAAAAAAAACAGAAGATGCCTCAGAAGGCAGGCTACAACTGGACAGGAGGGCTTAGCAGAAGTGGTTGTGAAGGGTTTTTGATTAATCTTTGAACACATTTTTCCTCGTTTTCAGCCTAAAAATTTCATGTACTCAGGCAACAGTCCCGTCTTCACACGTAAGCCTCTCCTTGGGAGAGCGTCCCTTCGGGACGCGGGGTCGGCCCCCCGACCCTCCGATCGAGAGGCTTAGTTAAGCTAGCCTACGGCCTACATACAACACTTTCACACAACAACAATATGTGAAACCCAACCCTCACACACCACACCGACCTCGGCAGCACACCTGTCATTAAATTTTACAAACCACTCCTCCGAGTCGCGGTGTATGCCGCAGCAGTTTGAGACTGTAAAACTGGCTGCGTGGACCCGATCATCAAGATTTTACGGCCCGAAAGTAGGGGCCGCGGTGGAGTTGCTCTAAAGTTGGCTTCGCAGTCCCAACGATCAAAATTTAGCGGCCCAAAAATAGGGGCCGCGGTGGAGTTGCTCTGAGACTATGTGTACAATCATCCACATAGATGATACAAATGACTTTCACGAAAGCTTTGTAACGTAACCAGTAATATGATCGACCCTATCCAACTGAACCAATCCCTCTCAGCTAATCAAGACCTACTCAGATTTGAATGGTTTAAAACGATTGTTGAAGAAAGTTTAACTTCTTCAACTTATTTTTTTAATAAAAAAAGCAAGTGACATTATGCAGAGTTCTTCTTGAGGTACAAAAAAATAAGGATGGTAGCATTTTATTGTTTTGTCTTCGTGATCTTAATCAAATTGGCTCAATCGTTATCAATCTTATCAATCATAGGGAAAAAAGGACGGTGATGACGATGAGGAGGAGGAGGCAGAACATAAATAGAAGATGTAGCGAAAGCAACTGATGTTTTTATTTCAAATCACGCCGATGGGACCAAGGAGCACAGGAAGCTGGCGGGAGGGTAAGATTGGGGGGGGGGGGTGGCATTGAAGAGTAGAATTGAATTGAATGGATGCTGAGAGGTTGAAAGGTAGAGCTCAAGAGAAGAGCCGTTTTTCGTATCTGAATAGCAGAGAGCGGAAGGATCAACAACCGAGCTAGAAAAAACAAGCACAACAGACTTACGAATGAAGTCCATGTACGCCTCCCTCTACTTGCGCACTTGTTGTTCGGAGCTCAAACCGCACCTCGGATCCGTCAGCACGTTCTCGGAGTTGGGCGATCGACCGAACGCCTACATCCTGCAGTGAATGCTGGAGTCCAGTGTACAGATATGGGACAAACTTCTTCAGTGAACCTTTGTCTACCACCGCGCCCGTGACACCCTACAGCAGGAGAAAAAAATGGACGATTCAGTTCCCAAGAATCAATCTTAATTCATCCGGCTTCAATTAAAGAGGTCGAAATAGTCGAATTTACCTGGGCGACTCGGACAGAACCGCTCTCAGAGAAGTAACGTGAAGTTGCAGCGTTATCCTCGGAAGACTTGCTGGCTCCAGTTTTCAGACGAGTTTGGAGCGAAGGACTTGCGGTCCGCTTGACGGGATTCTTCTCGGCGTTTCCGTGCTCCATGGCATCCAGACTACCCATTCCACGGTATTTCTTGAGTCGTTGACCTTCGTTGTAGAAGTACTCGCCGGGTGCTTCAGTTGTGCCCGCCAGTAAGCCGCCCATCATCACCGCCGAGGCTCCGAGTGCAATCGCCTTGCCGATATGTCCGACGTTTGAGATCCCTCCATCCGCAATCACTGGGACGCCAAACTTGCGCGCGAATTCGGCTACAGCAAAGACTGCCGATCCCTGTGGTCTTCCGACGGCACAGACCTCTTGTGTGATGCAGATCGAGCCGCTTCCCATCCCGACCCTGAGTGCATCTGCCCCAACGGCAATCAGTGCGGCTGCCTGTTCCCGAGTCACCACGTTGCCCGCAATCACATCCAGACCGGGATGGGTCTCTTTGATCCATTTGATCATTTCGATCTGGTAGATCGAGTTGCCCTGAGACGAGTCGAGGACTACCACATCAAGGCCGGCCTGAACCAATGCTGTGAGTCGTGCTCGATCAGTTTCTCGTGTGCCGACTGCGGCTCCACATAGCAATTGTTTGCTGGCAGGTTTCTTGCTCGCCAGTGGGTAGTCTTTGTTCTTGAGTAAGTCGCTTCGGGCAAGTAGTGAGCGCAATCGACCTTCAGAATCGACCAGTGGCAGTTTGCCCTTCTTACAATCTCGTAAGATCGCATTGGCTTCTTCCAAGGTGATGCCTTCCGGTCCGACAACGAGTTCGGACAGTTTGGTCATGACCTCTGATAAAGGTTGATTAGATGATCTGAATTGGATGTCACGCGCAGTCACGATTCCTTGTAAGACTCCTCCTAACTTGCCAGTATCTAATGAAAAAATTCGTAGGTAAGTTCCGCTTGCAGAGTGAAAAATGGCACTAGGCCTGAAAATGAGAATGGACACAATGACAAACCTGTGACTGGAATTCCACAGAATCCATAGGCTTCCTTGACCGCCAGCACATCTGCAACAGTGTGTTCGGGAGTAAGGCAGAAAGGGTCGGTAATAAATCCCTAGAATTCAATGGATTGTTCAGCAATCTTGGAAAGGAATCCATCATAATAATCGAGATGTCGTGGTCTTACATTCTCATACTTTTTGACAGCGCGGACCATAGCGGCTTGTAGATGGGCAGGCATGTTGTGATGGATAATGCCAACTCCTCCCAGGAGCTAATTGAATGGACAAGTATGAGATCAGCTTAAGGTTTCGAAGGACAAGGCTAAGGAGCGGTTGCGACTTGCAGCCATGGTTATTGCCATATCGGTTTCAGTGACAGTGTCCATGGGAGAACTCATGAATGGAGTCTTCAGGGTGATATTCCGGGTAACTCTTGACTCGAGTGAAACCTAGAATGAAGATCGAAAGTCGGATGTGAACCGTTAAACAAAACAGCTCCTCGAAGACTGATGAAAAGAGAGGGAAGGAAGCGACCTACTTCGGCTGCCGGAAAGTCAATATAGCCAGGTAGAAGCAGAAAGTCGTTGTACGTTAATCCTCCGAATCTGATTAATTTGATTTTGATTTTAAACAAAAAAAAACAGAAGCATGATTCATCATTAGATGGACTTCGGCCTACGCGGATCTAATCTGATGTTCAATTTTCTAGGGGTAGAGTGATGACTGACTTGGTTGAATCCATGAGTTCCTGGAGACTGAGACCATCCATCCTCGAGTATTTCTTCAACTCGTCCATGGCTTGAGTGTGGGAAAGAGTTGAAGGCTTGAGATGGAATGGCAAAGATGTCAGGATCAGGTTACATAGAGAGATAAGCACTTTGAACTACTGACCATATTGATGATTTTTGATTTTGAAGAAACGTCTGATTGATTGCTTGAGGTTTAATCAGCTGATGGCCAAGTGGGCGGTAAATAAGGTGTTGAATATGTAATCGAAGAGTCGAAGGTGCTGTTGAAGTGGTGCGGGCACGGTGGCCAGTGGTTGTATGTCCGCGGGGATGGCCAGCTTTAATGATAATGTTTTTTTTTGGAGATTCAAAGTGGATATGCATCTGAGTATGCGGCGCAGTCACTGTGCTCCTGGTTTTGAATATCCAAAGTTGAACTGTTGGCTCAGTCTTCAGCTTCAGGCACAAGCTGCCTGTAATATTTTGTGGCCAATCCAACTCACTCAAACAGAAAGATCGGTCTCACCACCCTCATCATCATCGTCATCATCATCACCAATGGCTACAGCTGGCGATCACAACTCAGTAAGAGGAAACAACAAGAACAGTCCAATGAACGAGCCCCAGGAATACCATTGGACTCAAGCAGCCTTCAACTCCCAACGAACCCCAATGATCCTCAAGCTCACCCAGACCGAGCTCGACGCACTACTAACGACCTACCAGATCAAGGATAACATCAGCAACCATCTCAATAACCATTCACTGAGCCTGAACCCCTATGGGCCACCCCCAACTTCCAGCCAATCTTCCCCACTCAACTCGCTCATCAAGACCTCACTCAACAATCTTGGCGAATATGATGCCCTGGCCCTGCCCCTAACCAATCCCAGCTGGAGAGCGCGTTGGGATAGTCTCTGCGTCGACCAGTCTCACTCCAACCCACAACCGCCCTCGGCCAGTCAACCCCCGGATAACTCTCAAGATGCTGAATTCTGGCGGCGAGCGGGCTACTTCTTATCCTCCGAACTCAACTTTCATAATACCATCGAAGTCGCCAAATGTATCTGCTTTGCTTCAGAATGGCTCGAGTTGGACTCTCCCGTCGAAGGCATCCGATTTGACTGTGAACTTGTTTGTCTTTCTATCTATCACCATTCCATTCAACACACCCGAGACAAACAGTTTGAATGGATCATTCCCTCTTGATTGTATCCATTCTCAGTCAATCACAACCATCATTCAACATTCGCAGTATTCTTGAATTCAAAAGTTGAAAAAAGGCCCAAAAAACTATTATTGACTGAAATCTTACCGCTTGAAATTTCCCGAATTGTATCACAGGCCATGAAGCAAGAAGTAAGCTATGCTACCTATCTTAGCGCATCCCACCTCATCCTACCCCGGATCAGACATCGGCGGTTCATTTCAGATTATGGACGGGCGATCTGTTCAATCCTGACAGGGCTATCCAGCTCAGTTGTTGTGAGTCCATCTCCTCATTCTTCTCTCCGAATCTAATTCAGTATTATTGGGATGATACTAATCAGGTTGAATAGCTTTCAATAGTCGTGCCGATCCTAGATACCGATGAAAAAACCTTCATGGCGTGGGAGGATTGGCATAGTCTACGAAAGCTCTGTGGTTATCATCCTCGCTTAAATATCAGTTCAGTCATCTTAACCAAGCAAGGAACCTCAGAACCTCTCTAAACCCCCACAATTCTCATCAGTTTCCTCTCACCCGATTACACCACAGCTCTTGAAATTCCTCATATGGGCGCAGCCATCGATGTCCCTGCTTTGATAAATCGCTGGACTGCCGAGCCAATAGGATTTTTGCTAATTCCTGCCACCAGCTTTATATCAAATGCCAAGTCAGTTTTCTCTTTCTCTACCATCTGACTTTTTTGTGGCCTCGTTTTCCTTGGCACTCATAATCTCATTTCATTTTTTTTTTGTTGTAGACATTATCCAGTTCTCAGCAAATCATGTCAGACGTTTGTGAAAGCGATGCTTAAAGTTGAGTGGGTCCAACCCGTCATCACTCCGGTTCGAACACACAGTCCCAGAGGATTCACAGATTCACTTGCTCTTCCCCACTTCCACAGTACAAGCCCAGCGTGATCTTGTCACAGACTTCAGAGGGGAAACATTCTTCGGGCGGTTCGTTGGCTTACGCGCAATAGTACGCTTTCAAGTCCCATTCCCCAATCCTTTTTCTTCTCGTTCCTCGACCTGCCTCCATTTCCTGATCGTTTGTTTCTCATCAGTATACGCTTTTTGGAGAAAAGAGCCGCCGCCATTGTTTGTGACCCGATCGAAAACTTCGCCGCTGGCTACCTAGATTATCTACAAGCCCCTCTACAAGTAGGTGTCGTTTTCTCCCTGTCGTAAAAGTTTACCTTCTAGTGGGAAAAATAAATAAATAAAACACTAAGGGCTAGTCCAAAGATCCAAAGAACTGATTTATTTCCCCGTTTGTTTTTTCGGAATTCATAAGCCTTTGGCTGATAACTTAGACTCAGTGGTCTATGAGGGATTTGAGAAAGATCCAGTCAAGTATTCGAAGTATGAAGAAGCCATCTTTCGGGCTCTATGTGACCGACCGGCTGACGCGACACAGTAAGTAGGATCCTCAACCTTTATACTTCCGTGACTTGTGTCAGTTAATCTTGGGACAATTTTGTAGGGTGCTTGCGGTATGTGGAGCTGGAAGAGGGCCTCTAGTGGAGGCAGCCTTGCGGGCAGCTCGACGGGCGGATCGAGTGATCACAATAACGGCCATAGAAAAAAATCCCAACTCGTACCTCACGTGAGCGTCAAGTCATGTGCTTAATCATATCCATTTGCACTAGCATTGTCTCAAGCGTGTTTATGTTTCTTTCTTGTTGAAGGCTGCAAGAAAGACTGAGGACGGAGTGGGACCCGGAGGTTGTCCAAGTATGGTTTGGTGATATGCGTGATTATCAACCCACCGATCCGATCGATATCATCATCTCTGAGCTGTTGGGCTCGTTCGGAGACAACGAACTCAGTCCAGAGTGTTTAGATGGAGTGATTCGCTGGCTAGCATGTGAGTAAATTTCTTCAGATATTTAAGAATGATGTCCCCTTTGTTGTTGTTAATGTTGATTATGGAACCTTTCTTTCTTTAAACAAAAAATAGCCGATGGAATTTCCATCCCATCTGGTTATTGTTCTTTTGTTGCCCCTCTTGCGTCCAATAAAATCCACTCAAGGGTGCTCGAGCTGGGCAAGTTTGAGACGCCATATGTGGTCATGATTCATGCGGCAGAGATCATCAGTGCGCAAGGAGGACCGGATGGAGAAATGGGGAAGGTCCAAGAGACCTGGTCGTTCGCCCATCCTCGCACCGATCTGGTATTTTCTCACGATACGGGTATGTTGAATTGAGATACCGACTTTCCGCTCATTTGTCTGAGTTTTCACCTGGGGCTGATAATTGGTTTTTGGTGGGCTTGATGCTACACAGGCGTACCGATCACTAACTTCCACAATGCCCGCTCGAGTCATCTGACGTTTCATATCCCTCAACCGAGTGTTTGTCATGGGCTGGCTGCCTACTTTCGTGCTACTCTTTATGGCAACGTGACGATCGAGACGCATCCGGAATCTAGAATGTCAAGGGAGATGTTATCGTGGTTTCCGATGTTCTTTCCTCTCAAGGTATGTGTATGAAGCACACAATCCTCTCGAATCTATAAAAAAACCAGTTCTGATCTCCTGTTTACCTTTGCTCATTTCAAAAAAAAAAAAAAATGAAGGAACCGATCTACTGTCCCAAAAACAGTGAATTGGATGTTCATCTCTGGAGGTTGACGGATCAAGTAGGAAGGAAAGTGTGGTACGAATGGTCGGTTGAAGCGTATACGATCCCTGCGAAGCGGGCGCTGAAAGGACGGCGTCAGGCAGGGAAGATGAAACCGAGCGGCTCGCCGGCGGCAGGCTCGAGCTCCGGCTCGGCCTCGAAGCGGATCAAGGTGCCCGAAAACACGGACCCGTCCCTGTTGACGGGCGAAATGGGCGACTCGAATCCGAACGAAACTGCGGCGGAGGATGAAACGATGGATGAGGATAAGGATCACTTGGACGACGACTTCGACCTTTGTCTCGATCTTCACTTCGACTCCCGCGTTAAAATCGCTACTAGCACCCTCCATAACGTCCTCGGAAAAGAATCTTCCGTTAAATGGTAGCCCCTCCCCTCGCTCTTCATTCGAATTTTTGTGTTCTCGAAAAATGCATACAAGTACTTTCTTTTTTTTTTTGTGATCGTTGTTGGCTTTTTTGTTTCATGTAGTACTTTTTTTTTCAAAGATATTTCAGTAGATAATGAGGATGAATTAGATCATGAGGATTGATCCGACCAGTTGTTTGCAATCGATGAGTATGCAGCGACCCGACGGCCCCAAACCGACTTTCCAGCTGACCAAATAACACACAGTTGAGTTTCAGCCTGTCTCCTGGCAGGCTGCCAGGACACACACAACCAAGTCAAGTCTGTGGGAGTGATGAAGAGAAGAGAGGATGGCTTGCTTGAGAATAATAACCGGCCGGGACCATCGAGGCCCTGGCTCCTTATTTGCACATCCACCTTCTGTCCGGTCGAACTATGCCGACAGTCGGCTCCCGTTGGCTCTTGTCTCAAGCTGTCCAGAATCTCAGAACATCATATCACATCCTTGCCCATTTTTCCAGCTCAATTCTTCGAGCTTGCATCGGTGCCAGACAACTTGAGACCACCGTACTCCCTCACTCGACTTAATCAAAAACAACAAAAACTGCCATACGAATCATGTCATCATCCAAAGTATAAAAAAAGCGAATTTCAATTCATTTGTAAACCTGGTTTTTTTGTTTTCTGGAGAAGAAAAAAAAAACAATCTATGATAAATAATAAAACAAATTCTTGAGATCGGTTAAACTGAACAACAACTACGTCTGATGGGGTTCTTTAATATAACAATTAAAAGAGATAAAAAAAATCAAATGAAAGAAAGATTATGAGTTAAAATTTCTCTGGTCACGTTTGCTCTCTCTTTCTCTCGCTTCCGAGCTCTAGTTCTAGTTCTCGTTCTCGTTCGTTTTTATATGCTCTTTTTGTGGGGGGTGAGGAGATAAGATGATCAATGTGAATTATCAATTTGTTTACAAAAAGTACTATATCAATCAAATCCCAATCATAATAATAAAGAATAACATTTGAAGAAAGGTAAAAATCGTAAAGAGAATGAACGAATAAGTGACGATCGATTACCAATCCCAAATAGAAACAGAAGATAATACATGTATCCAGTCAGTTTCAAAGGTCGATGATGAGCTTAAACAGAATTTCACACTGACGTCTGGAACCCTTCTAGAAACCAACGGTTCGCCAGCTCTAGGTGCAGGATCGAATTGCAGGCTAGAAGAAAGTGAAAATAAAGAAGAACGATTAGAATGTTTGACATATCGAAGCAAACCAAAAGAAAGGATAGAGAGGAGGAAGGAAGGACGAACAAGGTGAACTTATTATTCTCATCGATTTCCATGATCGCAGCTTGATTACCACATCGATAACAGTAATTAGGAGCCGAGAAGATTGTCACGACGTTTCGTTCGTGGGACCAGTTATACCCTTCCATTACCAATTGATGGGCACGAGCTAAGAACGTGTACACGACGAGAATTTAAGCAACAACGGATGAAAAAAGAAGATGATGATGATGAGCAGAGGTTGGTAAGACTGACCGACTAGGGTGAGACCGTTATTATGATTGAATGCGTCGGAGATGTCTTGTCCAAAGGTGTAGCCAGCACCTCGTGGTGATATCCCCCATCCGCATCGGTCGTCGGGATCTGACCATAACAGATCGCACATCGGTCCTTCATGAGGCACTTCTTGGATACGATCGATCGATCGGATGTGATCCAGAGTATCGATCGAAGGCGATAGTCCACCATGTAGACAAAAGATCTAACGTCAAAAGGGAGGCAGGGGGAAGTCGGATCGTTGGAAGATTAATTCAGAAATCTGCCCATCATCACCGAGCAGGAAGGCTGAAGTTGTGGCCTTGAAGAAGAGACACGGGGACTTACTTGTTCATCGATCAACGCTGTCAGAGGCAAATAGTCGAACAACTCGGTGAAGGATTTCCAGACGTTGGCATTGCCATACTTCCTAAGACATTCGTCGTAAAATCCATAGACTTGAGTGATCTGTCTAGACTCGTGATTCCCACGCAAGATGGTCACTCGATCACGATATCTGACTTTCAATGCGACCAAGAGGGTCACCGTTTCTACCGAGTAATACCCTCGATCTACGTAGTCTCCCATAAACAAATAGTTCGTGTCTGGCGCATTGCCTCCGATCCGAAATAGTTCTGAGAGGTCGTGCTGGGGATGATCGGTGTTATGGAGTCGATTTAGGATCAGACAGATCGGAGGTTCAAAAGATCAATGATCCATGGGGGTTTTTTGCCCGTGATAAATGGAGATACACGATTAGCGCGAAGTAAGAGAGGAAGCCAGAGAATCGCCAGATGCAATCGTCTCTGGTGTGAGGCAAGTAATGGATGAAGAGGGGGAGAGACTGACAAATTGACCGTGTATATCACCACAGACTGTGACAGGACATCGTACAGGTTGGACGTTCGACTCTTCCTGGAAGATCACAGAATAGTCAGACAATCAAATGATGTGCGGAAACTAGGGATGTCGGTTGCAAAAATGATAATGAAAGCCATCTTACCATTAAGATCTCTCGCGCCTAAAAGGAGCAGAAACAAAAAAAAAAGGGGAAGGTTTAGGGTGCATGTAATTCAGGATTTGGAGCGGGGAGAGAGAGAGGAGGGGGGATGGGGATCCTACCTTCTCACACAGCCGTTTGACATCAGCTTCGGTGAGCTGTTTGCAGTCGGCCAGATGAGAGACCCAGGAGTCGATTTCGGCTATACAATGATGGATTTTTGAAAGTAAAAGCGAGGTGGTTTTTGTGTCAGTCAAGAAGAAAGAGAGAGAGAGAGAGAAAGAAAAGGGATGGATGGTCAGATCTCCTTCTCTGGCTGAGTGCGTTGGGTGTGTTGTTTCAGAGGGGGGAGTCTGATGGAGATGAGACTGACAGTTGTTCATCTGGTGATCGTTTTGTTCTTGAGAGTGAGCAAGTGGACTGGTTGATGATGATGATGATGATGGTGATGATGGTGGTTTGGGTTTGGGTTTGGTTGGTTGCAGGTCGAGAAGGGGGAGGAGGGGGGACCGAGCGAAGGACTGAGTCTTCGCGGGTGTCGGCCAGTCCCCCCCGATCTACACACCCCCCCGATCCATCGATCATTACGTAATCCCAACAATCCATTGAGAAATCCCGATAGAAAACGAGCTTAACTAACCCTCTCCGGAGGAGGCGCGAAGCGTCTCCGAAGGAGAGGCTTATGAATAAAGTGACACCCTCGGCCTGAGGCTGGCAGATTTCAACAAAGAAATTCATGAAATTTGCCTCCGCAAATCTTCCACATCTCTCCCTCACATTCAACACAAGATACAAATAGAATATTTTGTAGCCCTTGATCTTGGCTTTCTATTATCTATTTTTTTGAGTAATTCCATCAAGAACTGATGGATTTGTAGGAATTCTTGTGAGAGCGATTCCTGAGGAATGCGATTTTGCCATCGGATCATCCGAAGGTCAAGGTGGAACACTTTCTCACGGGTTTTTTCAGTTGGCAGACTGTGTATGTGTTAAATAAACGTGTACCTATTTCTATACACATACTGATGAACATAAAATCCAACCTTGTTTTCATGTTTTTAGATCGGACCGGCTATCCGGTCCGCATCAGGGCGGATAGTCTCACAAATAGGTTTTCTACATTTAAATTCATTCCAAGGGAACAGCGTTTTGGGTGTGATCAATGTACCAGAACATGTAGAAAAACTAGCAGATTCCAGAGGTGCTGGAGGCGACAGACGAATTGGAGAGGTTGAGGGTGATAAATGGGTTTAGAGGGAATTTCAGCCAAATGGCTGGCCAGCCTCGAGCCAAATGCAGGACATTGGTCTCAAGTCCCTCCCTTGCGGGAGGGTGCTCGCGCCCCGCGAGCACGGAGGGACTTGTGTTAAGTTCGGATAGAAAACCCTTATCACTAGAGTTGAATCGTCAGTATAAATTATCTTTCCTCATACCATTCGAGTGTGGGCACTGGGTGCTCATGAAAAAAAAAAAAAAAAAAAAAAAAAAAAGGGATTAATAAACGTACCCCCCTTTTCTGCTATCTACACCCGGTTTTTCACACCTGGTATTCTGCTTCTACACCCGGTTTTCCCCAGCCTTTTTAATTCATTTTTTGGCAATTCTGAATATGATAGAAATCTTCTAAAATTGATCATTCTTTTTGAGTATATAAAAAATCCTCAAAAGAGAAATTTTAAATTTAAATTTAAATTAATCTGATTCATCAAGTTTTTTTTTTCTGCCTATGCGTTTTTGAGAATTCAAAGTACATTTCACTTTCAACAGTACCTCATATCCAGTACTGGATATGGAGTAAAAAAAACTGGATATTCAGTGTTTTTTTGAAAAAAAAATGGGGTGAAGAGGTGAACAAAAAAAAATATAAAAATGCTACATATCCAGGTTTATTTTACTGCACATCCAGTGCGGGATATGAAGTTATGTTTCGAGTGTTTAAATTTATCATTGATATTTCCCAATCTTTGGGAAATCTATAAAGGACCAAATTTGATTTCATTTTGGAAATCCTAATGTTGTTGGTTTTGAGCTATAAGCAAATGGACAAAATAAGGAATATCTTGAATGGTACCATCTGTATGGAGAAGAAAAATTAAAAACTTGACAATTAATAATAAGTTGTGGTTTAACTCAAGTTTTCAAGAGTTCATAGGGTCAAAAAAAAATTGGGAAAAAATTGGTGAGAAAAATCAAAAAAACCTTTTGAGAATTTTTTATATACCCAATAAGAATTATCAATTTTAGAAGATTTTGAGCATATTTAGAATTGCCAAAAAATGAATTAAAAAGGCTGGGGAAAACCGGGTGTAGAAGCAGAAAACCAGGTGTGAAAAACCGGGTGTGGATAGCAGAAAAGGGGGGTACGTTTATTAATTCCCCCCCAAAAAAAAAAAAAAAACTGCATCTTGTTATCGCGGGATTATTATTTGTTACTTGAACAACTTGAGGACAAACATCTCACCAGCCAGAGGGAAATGATTAAACTTTTTCAGGTGAAATGAAATATAAGAAGGATTACATTAAGGGTTACAACAGACAGAGCCATTAATCAGCTTGGAGATTTTCTTGTGATGTGGGAAGCCTGAGCCCTACAGCACCCCCCCCCCACACACACTTTCTATTCTGAATCTTGACCAATCATCTCCTGCTGTTAGTTATATCTTCCCACAACAAATTTCTTTTTTTTTCTTCCTGAGTATCAGTTTGCACCCAAATTTGTGTTGTATAGAACAATTTTCTGAGACTTACTGGGAGACACTGTTTTTGCATTCCTGATAATTATTAAATAGATATTTGTTCCTATTGAGGTTACCATTGAACTGACATGGGTGTTTAATTCTGCTCTAGGGGGTTTGTGGGTTGTGGAAAGTATATTTTTGGACATGTACTACTGTAATAAGAAAAGTCTCATATGGAGGGTCTTTCTACAGGCCAAGTTTTGTTGAAGGAAATACAAAATAAACTACCAAGATGGAAAGCAGAAACAAACTATCTTGATCAAACCAACTGCTGGTAGTGTACATATGTACCTTGCAATGAAGCACATGTAACAAGAAGTGTCCTGTCTCAGCCATAGTCCAAGTTTCAGATTCTGATCTGACTGATTTTTTCATCTCACTTGTCCTGGCCATCCTTTGTGCACCAAATGTTAAAAGCCCGCCCTCAAAAGCCATATCAATTTATCCTCTGTGATAACGAGGTAAGATTCTCAAGTATAATTTGGCTCACCATAATCCAAAAGGGCCTGTTTGTAACATATCAAGGCATACAAACCTGGCTAAACTTTTGTAGACTGTTCTTCTTTATTTTGCACCAGCTCACAAAACATGCAAAGGCCTGGGAGTCATCCACTCCTATTTGGATTTTTAGTGATAGTTCTTGCTGCCTTCACAAATGCTTCTTTCACCCAATCTGCTAATGGCCACCTTTTAGAGTCCAAGACTGAGCCGCCTGAATTACTAGCTCTCTCTTGCAAAAATATTCCTGCCACAACAACATCTCATCCAAGTGAACATGACCATTCTTCTCCACAATCCACACACAGCCTTTTCAATCTTTTCAGCTCATCTGAAATACAAAAACCGGGGGTTAAGCCTTGCACAGGATCTCCTCCACTTTGTGGTCACCAAATCCAGATGCATGGAAGCAGCTCCAAAGTGGATGCAACGACAGATTTAACCATGGGAAACTCAATGTACAAGAGACCTTGGAAGGCAAATGGCCAACTTGAGTCAAATTCTCCTCAGCTTGTCAAGCCTTCAGGATTGAAAGATAATCAAATTTATCCTGAAGAAAATGTTTCAATTCATAAATTCAGAAAAAATAGCACCCCATCTCCATTTGAGCCACACCTGCAGGAACAACAGCCATTTCAAGATCATACGGCCCTCAATTGGGCTATGTAGATGGATTCCATGAACCACCTCTGGAATCAAGAGTAAATCATCACAAAGTTTCTGAAAGATCCAACATTAATAAGGAGTGCTCAACACAGAACTTACTTGGAAAGCTTGGGAAGCCTGGTTTCAATCCCTCTGGGGTGGTAAATGATCATGAACTTCCTGCCAGAACATTTATTGATTTTTTGGGAGTAGGGGATTCAGATAAACAGAGACCTTATTCAAGCAGTCATGAATCAATATATAAAGAAAATCAAGTCCCTCCCAACTCTCCCCCAGACTTTCACAAAGGGAATTTTGCACTTTGGAAATCTTATGGTGTGTCTCCCTTACTGGACTTATCCATAGACCTGAACTTGGGCAGAATCTCAAGGATTCCAGACAAGACAGCTTCCTCAAATAAAAAAATCATGGATAAAGAATATTTGGAATACCACATTTCAAACTTTGCCTTTCAAAAACATGAAATTCCACCTAATCATTTTGGTCAATCTATGAAACCTGTTGCTAAGCTCCCTACAGAAACAAAGTATGCACATGGTCTCAGGAACAGTGATTATTTTCAGATATGGCAGTCATCACATCCTTTGACTGGTCAAGTAGTTGATGGTAAGTATAAATCAAATAATGCTCAGGTTTATCCAAAAGGCCTTAAAAGAAAGAGTCCTGATTTAACAGAAGCTGGAAGAGATGACACTCACCAAAAAACTAAAGCCAAAAAATTATTGGATTTTTCCAGTGCCCCAATTGCAATAAAAGGAATTTTTGGACCATTTGGAAAAACCAAAACTAGTTACATTAATAATAAGCAAGTTCCACAACCTCAAGAACCAATTAGTAAGTTGGTTTCTCACATGAAGATGACTAACAGTGATCATCCAGAAAAATACAGAAATCTCAATATATACCTGTATGAATTAAAGGATACTCCCAAAAGAACCAAGTTGCCAAGATTAACTTTCAAGGCAAATTCATTCAAGAGGAAACAAAGCAGTGAGGCAACCAAATTCTATTGGGAGAGTGTTTTGAAACTCATCAAACCGGAAGACAAAGGGAGACTGATCATCAAACTCAGTGAATTCAAATTCACTGCCTCCAAATTCCACAGAATGTCGAGTTATAAGGTGGAAAAAATGAGCAGAGAAGAGAAGTATGCTTTCTATACAAGCAAAAAGAGGTTTTTTGAGGACAGTAAGGATACTTGGTTTGACTATTGGGCATTACAAACAAAACTCAATTTCAAAGCGTATTGTGAGAGTAGAATCCCCGCAGAATACCGAGATGTGTTTCCACTATTTGTGTTTCATGTTGAGATGATCAGAGCTATCATACCTTTACCAGAAGAACAGAGTTGTGAATATACCCAAAAAATGGCTGAAGCTTGTCAATTCTTTGAAGATTTAGCAAAGCAGAAGAAGGAGAATCTGGACTATCTGCGGAAAAGCAAATATGGCTCTGGATATCTTTGGGATTTTTTGCAGCCTTGGATCAGACACTATTCTGAAACACTTTGGACCCAAATGAAGGATCACAATCGAGACTTGTCTACTGCTAAGGGCTTGATTAATAAATTGTTCTCGCTTTCAGTTGAGAACCTCACTGAACAGTACAGAAAGCGTTTGTGAAGTCAAAACAGAGGTTTTTCAGATCTCCTACTAGCTTTCAAATGCATACCAAGACCAGCAATGGGTATTGAAAATAGAGGGAAAAACTATTTCCATGATCTTTGCTTGCAAAAGTAATCTGTTGGGCTTCTCTTCTCTTTCTTACTCATCCTCAATCCTGTCAGTTTTCATTCATCCTTCCATGGCAAATCTTGACATTATTGTGGTATAAAATTGTTCCAATTGTGGGCCATTTTCCTCTCTCTTAGAAGTATCTCTCTTTTTGTCTTATTACTGTTATTAGTTTCAGCTTCATTCCACTTTAGTCTTTTATTCATATTGAGATCATTTCATTTTGGAAATGTTTTTATTTTTAAAATTTTACTCCATTCTTGGCTTTCTTTCCATGTCAAAGTCTTCCTACTGATTGGTCTGCCATCCCAATTTATCAGAATGCCACCAATGCATGTTTTGGGGACTTTCATTTAATGCCCATTATCTGAGGTCAAGTATTTTTTTCACTAACAATAAACTTCATTATTTATGCCAACCCCAACATGTTTCGAAGCGCTTATCCTTCCTTTCATCATGAGTCACCAGCTGCTCATATGTGTAGTAGTTATGTGCAATTCCTATGCCGAAAGTGATCCAAGAAGATGATTTATGGGCCAGTTCCCCAACAGGATATTATGTGTCCCACAATGAATATCCATAACTCGCTGACTATGCAAGATAACTGCCATGAGATTGTTTCCAGGAGATAAATAGTACATGTGAGTCATCCATCTCCATTGAAGACTCGAGAATCAGATGGAAAATGAGAGCAAAACTTGTCAGACACAGGCAGCTGGGTTGCTTGAGCAGGCCCTTTAATGTCAGAGGAATGAGAATGTGGTTTTCCTGATTTGTCAAGATGTTTCCATGCAGCATTATAAAGTCCTGCACGGATCTTTTGGTTCCTTCGACTGTTGTTGTAATTGCGAGCCGGCAGTCTGGAATTTTCAGAAAAGACCGGGTCGAGAGGCGCAGTTGTTGGGTTGGCTCGAAGCGAACTGACTGTATTATGTGTGTGGCTGCGCGCTTGTTGACCATCGCCATCCTCCTCCTCATTACCATCACCATCACCACCAACAACCACAACAGCAGTAGCCAGAACCTCATCAACCCATTCAACACACAAGTCCTCTTCATCGTTTGAGAACCCATCTGAGCATCCAAATCATCCAGCGAGCTCCTACGACGATGACCACTGAGACTGTCCAACAACCGAAGGCCGATCCCGCTCCTACCGAGGCCTCCACAGCCCTACCGGCTGACACCCTAACCAAATGTGAGCCCATCCAGAGTCTCCGTTTCTTACATGCGATTCACACTGACCCTTTCGATCGGCCGAACAGATAAGACAGCAGCTGAGATTGCTGCAAAAGCACTCCAACATGTCATCTCGAAGGCCGTCAAGGGATCTAACCTACTCGAACTCTGTCGAGAAGGAGACAAATCGATCGAGGATGCGTGTGCGTTGGTTTACAACAAGGACAAGAAGAACCCTACCCAAAAGGGTGTCGCCTTCCCATGTACCCTGAGTATCAACAAGTGAGTATCGTTTATTTTTCACTCTCCGCTTGTCAAAAAAAAAAAAAACCAAACTTGGTTCGCAAAGGTGATCGGAGCCCATAATAATGTTCTTTCCCCACACCTGTAGCGTTCTTTGTCATTTTACTCCATTGCCCACTGACCCTGGTGCAACCCAAACTCTCGAGGATGGTGATGTCGTGAAAATTCTGATTGGCGCCCATATCGATGGATATGCCTCGATCATTGGTGAAACGTAAGTCAATGGTTAATCTCTACCATACCCAATGTCCCCAAACATCTGACTTGACCCTAACCCATTCTTTCAGGGTCATCATTGGTGCCTCAACTGCATCACCCGTCACCGGTACTAAGGCAGACCTCGTAGCCGCGGCCCACAACGTCGCTGAACTCGTGTTACGATCAGTTAAACCAGGAGTCAAGAACTGGGAAGTTACCGATGTGGTTTCAAAACTCCTAAAAGAATATAAGGGCTCGATCAAAGGCATGGAGGGTAGGCTATTTTCCTTCAAGCTATTTTGTGAAACCGAACATCTCATCCATTCGGGAGATCGTTTTGCCAGGTATGATATCACATCAACATGAACAGAATGTGATCGATGGCAAAAAAACTATCAACTTGTTTCCGGCTGCCGAACAACACCGGGATAAAGATTCAACCTTTCTCTTTGAAGAAGGAGATGTCTTTGGCCTCGACGTTCTTCTGACAACCGGCGAAGAGACCAAAGTGAGCAAGCCCTTAAATCCCGTCTCTCTGCACACACATGGAAGCGTCTTGTGTATATCTGATCGAAAGAGTTAATAATAAAATTCACCATTTGTTACAGTCGAAGTCGCATGTCGATCGCACCTCAATTTTCCAAAAGACTACATCTACCTACCAATTGAAAATGAAGACATCCCGGTCTACATATGGAGAAATCGTCAAGAAAGCAGGCGCGTTTCCCTTCACATTACGTACTTTGGAGGACCAAACCAAAGCGCGGATGGGTGTGAAGGAATGTGTTCAACACGGACTCCTGAAAGAGTTTGATGTAACGTGAGTACATCAACCCAGATTTATCTGCCCGGGACCATTCATAATGATAATTTCTTTTTACCAAACAATAAAGCACAACGACCGACCCCAAAGACGTAACTGCACAATACTTTGCCACCTTCGTCGTCACTAAGACTGGTGTGACAAGAATTACACCCGCTCCAACGTTTTACGTCGGAAGTGGATCGGAAATCATCAAGAGTGAAGTTAAGATTGAAGATCAGGAATTGGCTAGCACATTGGCGAGAGGGTTGAAACCCAAGAAGGCCAAGAAAGCCACCAACGGGGCACCGGCTAGCTGAAATTTGTAAGCCTAGACATCGACCATTTCTTCTGTTTGATCAGGAAAAAAAAACTCACTCATTTTTGGCAGTTAACTCACGACTTTCCGATCGGTCCGAACGAAAGAAATAAGTGAAAAAAGCCAAAAAAAAAGAAATACGAGAATCAATTGTTCAATTTGTTTCCTCCTTCCGATTCATCTGTGCTTGCTCCCAGTTACTTTGCTTAACAAAAAAAAATGTCTGAAAAAACAATCTAAGGATTTTCTGTGAATTGTTATTTTGTCTATTTCCCCCTTTTTTTCTTATTGTATTGATGAGGTTGAAGGGCGAGCATTTGATTCTTCGTTTAACCAAAAATACTGTTACCTCGTCGGAAGAGTTTCTTCTCTATTTTTTTTTACCCATCTCATCAGTCGGAGTTACGTAGTTCGATCGACCGATCGTCATCGACTGGCTCAATTTTACTTATCTCCTTCAATTTGAATAAATATCCCCCAGTCATTTGGCCCTTCTTCATGACAATTACTACCCTCCTGCAAATTTCCAGCCCTTATTTGATTTGCTAGTCATTCAGTTGTGGAATCAAACGTCAGTTTGACTGAATGTGTTTCCTGCAACTAGCCATGGCTGTTGCGAATTTCTGATGTTTGCTCGGTGAATGATGTGTATTGGGCGCAGGCTATCGGTCCGATGCTTCCCGGGTCTATGTTGGACCATGTGTGTCTATGATAGCCAGGTATCTTTATTTCTTCATAACTTGCTCTGCATCTGTCTTCCCACATTGAAGGATCCTACTAGAGAAACCCATCAGAATTTGCCCATCTGGTCTGGAAGCCACACAAGCAAAAACCATCATCGTGTACGTTACATTGAAGCTTTTCTTGGCCTTTTGGTCTAAGGCATCCCCGTGTTGGACCAGGTTGTCCAAAAGGAGCCTTCAGCTTCTTCGTTACCCCAGATTTTTGCCCAGCTCCTGACCTATTTTTCTAATAGAACTCATACCAAATCTCCCTCACCAGGACATTCATACGCACCATCCAGACAGCTCAGTTCAATTTTGTTGTGTCAAACAGTAATAAGTTATATTCACCATCAAACTGTTCTTCTCCTATCATTTGACTGTATACCATATAACAGTAACAATGAAGTTAATTGCACTCTTGATCATGACTAAGATCTGCAGTACTGGCATGGTCCAGTCTCCTGGAGGTACAGCATGGAAACATATTCAAAACCAAGAGTGGAGGAGTCGATTCAGCCTAAGTGCTGAAGAAATTCGGCCTTGGGGAATGGGAGTCATATATAGTGTGCAAATTCCAGTCTCAGAAGAACTTGTGCATAATGTTCACAATTCCTGTGTAACAATCTTCATATCTGAAACAAATCATAACATATGCCTCCATAAGTCAATGAAGAGCAAGCTTTTGGATTACTTGATAATTGACAACAAAAACAGAGACCGGTACTGTCAAGGGATCATTCCCCCCAACACAATACTTGAATTTTGGAATGTAGAAACAACGGTGGGCCAGCTACGCTAACCGTAGCGTTAGCGTAGCGAAAAACCGCTACAATTTAGCGTAGCGTTAGCGCTTTTCTCATTTTCCGCGCTAACGCTACGCGAATGGGGAAAAAACTTGCGCTAGCGTTTAGCTTAGCGTTAGCGTGATTCCCCCCATCTGCGCTAACGCTACGCGCGCAGGGCGCAAAAAACCGCCCGCTACGCTGCGCTACAGCAGTTTTTAGGCGTTTTTTGCCGCTAAAAACACTGTAGCGTAGCGGCGCCAGAGGCGCGCTAACACTACACCAAAAATTGGTGAGTGTTAGCGCCGCTACGAATTAGCGTAGCGCAGCGGCCTTAGCGGCGCGCTAACACTACGCGGAAAAAAAAGGCGCCGCTACGCTAACGCTACATGGGCCCGTAGTGTAGTGTAGCGTAGCGGCCCACCGCTGGTAGAAAGCACCATTATCTATTTAAATGAATTAAATAGAAGATTATCCACATGTCTGGTTTTTGTTTTGCCTGGTTACTTATGTTTAGCACATTGATTTCACATCATGAATCAGATTGGTATAAATACTCCATCTAAACCACGCTGGATACAATCAGACTTCACAAAAGTCATATATATCAATCATGTTTCACTTTTCAATGTTTATTGGTATATACATAATATGCAAATGTGATTTGGCTTAAAATAGCTCCACATTAAAATCTGCTCAGTGAGGCTTCTCCTTGGCCAGCTGCTATACACTGTGTCTGCCTTCTGTGACTGTGTTGGTCTTCCAACACACTGCTGAAGACACTCTAGAGCTGGCAGTGGCTCAAAAATAACTAAGACCTGGGGGTCCTTTGGGGGACTCTACTTTCTGTTAATGGATGAGTGAAAGAGTCAAAGAGGGAAAGACTCAATGAGTTTGTATTTCCAGATGAACAAACTCAAGCTTTAAATAGTGAAAGAAAAGATGCTACAAATGAGATAAAACAGTGGATGACTTCCTGTCAACATCTGCGGGTCTCCCAGTTTTGATTTAGAGCCGCAAAAGGTAGATTTCCAAGCTGTGAGGGTCCCAGATCCAACGGGAATTCCTCCAGTATAAAGCTATTCTAATCTGGACTGATGAGAGCACAGAAAGATACAAGCTTGAATGAGAAAATATGCTAATAAAGAGTTTGAGAAAAAAACAGAGAGCTACAGCACATGAATACTAACACTTTCAAGAGGCATTGTCGGAATTATGTCTTGTTCTTCTCATTCCATAAAATCCATCTTACTCACCTGTTTTATCAGATAAAATAATACACATGATTCTACTATGTTTTGTTAGTGCCTGAGTGCCACTTTGTCTTATTGTCTAGTGCTGAAATCCCTGTAGTCTTTGAACCCTGGCCTAACCTTTATCAATAGGTATTTGCTCCTGTCATCTATTCATGCATATGTTAATTTTTCATTCAATTTTTCTCAAACAACTGGTTGAACTGATTGAACGTAGTCTATTTAACGTGTGGGCTCTACTAGTAAATTGAAATCATTGATTCTCTCAACTTTAATCCCAGTGCCACTTTTAAGTTCCCAAAAAAGGGTATGCCTTGACAAGTCCTGTCAAATCACATCTCTCTCCCCCTCTCTCTCTCCTGTTTCCAACTTCAGAATTTCTTCAGGTACTAATTAGAGATGGCACTTGATACTTGTTTGCAAGTACTTGCTGCTTGTTGGAATGTACCTGGAACATATTGATAGGTACTTATGACCTACTGGCATGTACATGGGACCTGTGGCAGCTACCTAGAACCTTTTTTCAGGCACCTGGTACCAAAAAACAGGTCCCAGGTACATGCAAAAAAACAACAAGTACTTGCAAACAAGTATCAAGTGCCATCTCTAGTACTAATGTGTTTTATGGTTTTTTTTTTGAATTGTATTCAATTTTAAATCAGTCATTTAGAGCAGGGGGTCCCAAAAGATTGCCATCTTTTCATTTTTTGGGAATTCAAAAAATGTAGATTCACAGTTTTTTGTTGTTGTGCTAGAGCAATTTTGAGGGGAAGAAGATGGTTGAAAATTCAACAAATTGTATTTAGGGCATAATAAGCAATTTAACATGTTATAGCATAATTTTGAAATGGTCGAGGAGCAGGAAATTTACAGGCAGGTGCTTGTTTCATTCAAAAAAGTGAATTTCACACTCAACTTTAAGCCAAAAAGAATATGTATACCATGTTATTGCCTTGAAAATATTCACCTCATAAAAGACTGATTAAGAATGGTTAAAGCTGTGAGGAGCAGTCTGAATTTGCACAACCAGTCATTTCATCATCATTTCAGTGGGGAGGATGGGCTTGTTTGTGTCCCTTAATGTACTTTGCTGGGCTGACCCAGGACCTAGGAAACTCCCTGTAGATGTCAGTAACATAAAATCTCATATTTTTAGAAAATTCACACATTTTTAGGACTCATTCATACACATTTTGTGCGTAGGCTCAGAGTATTGAGGCTAAGGCACTAGAGAATGAGAATGCAATGCAGAAAGACCTCTGCGCTTCTCATAAGAGAAGCTCAGACTAAATGTGAAGCTGTGCTGTGGCAAGTTTCTTGTATGTAACATGTATGTTACAACACAGAGGTCAGCCAAAATTTTGATACAATTTTTGTGTGTAACATTTTCTTTGGCTGGAGGCTTAAAGATGATGATTGGTACTAAGGATGGCTATTGGGCCAGGCACCCAATAGGCCACCCGCGCCCATCCGGGTTTGGGTCAGGCATGAGTCATGAGCTGTTCCACGGGGGTCCGAAGTTGTCAGGCTGGTTGGTGGGCTAGGGTGCATCTGGCCTGAAAAGTTGGGTGCCCAATAGGCCTCCAGTTTTAGATCTACCTCAGGATGTAAACGGGTCGGGTTCGGGTCAAAAAACAGTGACCAAACCCAAACCCGAGGAAAAGGCGGGTCGGGGCGGGTCGGGTCATATTTTAAAAAGTGCTTATTGCACCCAAACCCGAGTAAAGTGAGGTCGGGTCCGGGTCGGGGCGGGTTGGGTCAAGGGTGACCCGGCCATTTTAGCAGTCGAAGGAATCAGAAATTTATAATTCATTTAAATTTTTATATATACTTGTTTTCTTTCTCTGAGAGCAGTAAAAACCAATATGTGATGAAATAAAGTCACTCTTGATCATCATCATTGATGATTAGGTCCTCATTGGCGCAGATCCAGTTTTGTCTGCACTCAAGCGCTTCGAGGGTGTCGGTATTTGTTCGTGTTTGATAGTCGCTGAGGATTCTCCCTCCGGTGGTAAATTCTGACTCCGATGAGATTGAAGTCATCGGAGTCATGAGGATAGACTTAGCTAAGATTGAAAGGGTTGGGAATCTCAATCGACTGGCATGGGGACTCCATGGCCACCAGGCAAGTACTAAGAACAAATTTGGATCAGCAATCACTGGTGCTCCGGATTACTGGCTGTTGATTTCTGAGTGCCTGTTTGGCTTGCTGGGGTTACTTCAGTGACTTCGATGTCAGATGCCCCATCAGATGAGGAGGAAACATCGGCAATGCGGCATGGAGGGCATTGCGAGGAGGGTGATATTGCCAGAAGTTGACCAGTAGAAAAATTAATACTGGAGAAGCTGAGAACTACCCAGTCTTAGTCGGGTTCTCAGGCCGACCCGACTGTAAGATACCTTTCCCAAACCCGAACCCGACTGAGGAGCCGGGTCTTTCCGGGTCGGGTCAAAAATTGATTCTTGGCCAATAGGCCTACCCAAACCCGACCCAAGACCCGACGGGTCTCGGGTCTGTTGCGGGTTGACCCGACCCATTTACATCCTGAGATCTACCTTAGTTATAAGATTGACGGAAGATCTTCCTTCTGTACAAAGTGCCTTCTGAATCTGAATCATAAACCACTTTTGTGATTTTCTTGACATTATAAAGGCATTGATAATTTGTTTCCTTCTTTTGTTTTCCTCCTTATGCAATTCATTTGGTATTTTTCTGACCGTTCACATAACCATATAGATTAGTGCATAAGCTACAGCCTACACCACCTTTCAAAGACTCAAATTCCTTTTTAAGAACAACAAATCAATGGGTTCTGATTCACAAGCCACCAATGCTATGACCATTGGCAACAACCCACCCACAGAATATGAAGAAAGGGCTGCTGCCTCCCCCCCTGAATCACCCACATCATCCCAGGAAACTAAGAAGCGAAGGGTCACCAGCGAAGTATGGGAGCACTTTGAAAAGGTACAAGAAGGTGGGTTCTTCTTTTCTGATATTTCAAGTGTTTATCTCGGCATGCTGAACTTGTTCATTCAAAAAATCCTTTGAATCAGACAACCAACCGAAAGCCAAGTGCAAATTATGCCCAGCCAAGCTGTCAGCAAAGGGAATGTCAGGGACAAACCACCTGCAACGACACGCAAAATCTTGCCAATCAAAGCACAAGGCAAAAGTCAAGGCCTTCTCAGTTTCACGAATTTGCCTCAATCATCAAGTAATCAAATCTGGATCTACTCGCAAGGACAGACCCGAGAGAAGCTGGCCAGGATGATCATTGAACACAAATACCCATTTGCCATAGTCAAACACCAAGGGTTCATTGACTTCATGGCCACAGCTCAACCCAACTTCATCATGCCAGGACAAAAGGCGGTCCAAAGGGATTGTATCAATCTCTACCACCAAATCAAGGCTGACCAGATGGCCAAAATGAGCACAGCCTTGAAGATCTCCCTGACCACTGACCTCTGGACGGCATCCAATATGACTGGATATATGGTTGTCACGGGTCACGACATGAACTCCAGCTGGGAGCTCATCAAGCTGATCTTGAGCTTCAGCCCCCTGCCAACTCCACACTCCGGCCAAGCAATTGCTGACCGTCTCAGCCAAGTCCTTCTTGACTGGAGATTGATCAACAAGGTCGCCTTTGTGACACTTGATAATGCAAGTTCAAATAATTTTGCTATGACTCGCTTACAATGGTTCATCAATGATCACAATCAAGGATCCTTACCTGCTATGTCACCCCACTTCCATGCCCGGTGCTTGGCTCATGTCCTCAACTTGGTCGTCAAGGATGGGCTCAAGGAGGTGGGAACTGCAGTTCAAAAACTTCAAAGTAGTGTACACTACATACATGGCTCGTCATCCCATCTCTCTTCCTTTGACAAGGCCCTGGTGGATGTTGAACTTAACGTCAAGATGAAGCATCCTTCCAAGGATGTCCCAACTCGATGGAATTCTACATTCCTGATGATTGAGTCATCATTGGACTGCAAGTTGGCATTCCAGCAGCTGTCAATTGAGGACACTGGATTTGAGGATTGCCCAAACAAGCGAGAGTAGGAGGAACTCATCATCATGAAAAAAATCCTTGAACCATTTCACAAAGGTATGTATACCTCCTAGCAAATACCCTTGTGTTAGTCAAATGCTGACAACTTGTTTCCTCATTTTTACAGCCACCAAATCATTGAGTGGGACCAAGTACCCCACCATTGTTCATGCTTACCGTGCCATGAGGGGAATAGAGATGCAGCTGGATGAATGCTTAACACTCCGGTCAAGCAATCATGACCAACCCCACCTCATTTCGATGATACCACCAATGAAGGCCAAATTCAACAAGTACTGGGGGCCAATGGGGGAGATGCTAGCTGTTGGACTCATCCTTGACCCCCGGTACAAAATGCAATATCTCCGTTACAGCTTGGAGCAATCACTTGATGCAGCAGGAGTTGATTTGTTCATTGCCAAGGTTCAAACTACGCTCTTGGCCATGTGGCAATTGTTCATTCCAACCAAGACCCTGCCAGACTCAACTCCTCAAATAGACTCCAGCTCAAAGACCAATGATCCCAACTTATTAGCGTTTCATCAACACATGGCTGGTACCATGGGTGGATCTAAAATCAATGCGCCTGGGGCCGAGTTGGATTTATACCTTGGAGAGCGGAATGTGATTGTTACTGGAGAAAAAAACAAACAATTCAACATTGGTAGCTGGTGGAAAAACAATGCAACTTGATATCCTTTGCTTTCCGAGTTTGCACGGATAATGCTCATGGTGCCTATGACCTCCGTGGCATTGGAATCTGAATTTTCTACTGGTGGTCAAGTTCTTGATGACTATTGGATGCGCCTCAAGAAAGAAACAGTCGAGGCATTGCTATGTACTCAAGACTGGATAAAACCTAAGGCTTCAAACATCCAAAATGATGCCGAAGAGGATGAGGAATCCTTTTTTTGTACCTAGCACCTCGAACAGTATTGAATCAAGTTCTCTTTTAACCTACTAGGATTATGCTTCACCTTTTCCCCTTAGTCTATATGTAAATACCGTTCCTTTCCCGCCCTCCCCTCCCCCACAAAAAGAAAGGACAGTCGGAGCAATCATATGTTTGTAAAATCTTGGCCTAGCCACCTGGATACCGAGCAAGTGCCCACGGGCCACCCGCACTTCAGCAGGTTAGATTGGATCATGGGCTGCCCAATTTCTAAATGGGCTCGGGTTAGACAAGATTGTTGAGCCTACTAGGCCAGCCTGACCTGCCTGCAAGGATCACGGGTTTGTTCGGGCTAGTGCACGGGCTGCCCAAACCTGCCTGATAGCCATCCTTAATTGGTACCCGGCACCTGTTTGCCTGGTGCCGCCCGGACCCGCCAGGAACCCGCCAGGGGGTGCCAGGTGAGGTACCTGGTGTCCATTTCTGAGCAAAACAAAGGTGGTGGTACCACTAGAGGTACCCGGGTACCGATTGTCATCTTTATGGAGGCTAGAATTTTGTATATTTCTTTTGTCTGTACCATTTTTCCCCCAGGAAGCACATAGCCAAGCTTTTTTTTACAGATAGTCATTCCTGCTAGCAACTCAGGCTTTGAAAAATGACAAAAATCAAGAAATATTTGCCATTGCATACAGTATATCACTACAAACAATACTGATTTTGGCCCAAGGGAAAATTGCAATTTGAATGGTGGAAAATAGATCAATGTTCTGGCAGTTTTTTACAAAATGCCTCAGGAGTAAAAAATGAGACTAAAATGAGCTATTTTACCCAAAAAATAAAAATGTCTCAAAGGAGATGAAAATTCATTCTGGGAGGTTTGAGGAATTTTTATTTTTGGGCCAAATTAGCTCATTTTGGCCTAATTTCTACGCCTGAGGCATTTTGTAAAAAAGTGCCAGAAACTTGACCCATTTTCCCCCACCCAAATTGCTATTTATCCTTGGGGCAAAGTGGGTATTGTTTGTAGTGTATGTAGTAGGAGGAACTTATAATTATTAACTATCATCAGCTTGATCTTTCTTTTTGACAGATTTGATCCTTAGGAATTCTTTCTGCCAAAAACTGACAGGGGGGGTTAAAAAAATCTGATGGAGGGTTAAAGAAATCTGATGGGGGTGACATAAAATAATACTGATGGGGCACTGGCCAGGGGGGGGGGAGGGTGCAAAAAAGGAAAATAGCGACAGAAATAATAAACCATACATTTTTGGGTACTAAACATCTTTGTCCCCAAAAATTCCATACGTTTCAAGTGAGTAAGATTTTGCCCACATACCC